ATATTTGCGAAATGATTGAAATTTTGTTAAAAAGGGAGGCCCTAACTCTAACCACTCCATAAGCCATTGATTGTTATCAAAACAGAAATTTACTCATATTTTAACTTTTTTTTATTTAATGTTCACTATTTCAACTATTTGACAAGTAATGATCTAAAATACTTTCCTAATTAAATTATTTTTAATTCTACACGGGCAGAGTCAATTTATTAAAAGTACATTGCGATAGTTTGTAAACATGAATGATACCATAGGAGTACCGATCTCACATTTTACCTATTCCTTAACAAATTTATCATAATTTAATTAGATTTTTATCCTGTCTAAAAGTTTTCTGGCATAAAATTTGTGTTACCACTGCTTCTGTTCTAAACAGGAAATAGTTTATTACAGTCAACTTGTAAAATGTTTCAGTGTATTTGAGACATTATTCAAAATAAAAATTTTTAATAACTGACTAGCTTGCCATGTTTATATGAAATAAAACATTGCTTTTGCGGGAACTCAGAAACATCACATTCTGACCCAACTACATAATGCTTAGAAGTGTTATATAACTTGGTAATACCCTGCTAACATTTATTTATCAACTTATATTCAAAAAGTTCATTGCTTTTCCATTTTAGATTCATCAGAAATATGAATGAATTAATTTCTTTCTTATTTTATAACTTTCAACAGATACCTGGCTTCTATTATGATGAAGAAAAGAAACGATACTTCAAGATTGACAAAAATAAATTCTCTCATACAAAGAGCGTCATTAATAAAGAGCGTCTTTCTTCTTTGCGAACTGAAAAAAAACGTTTATCAGATTTGAAATTGTTTTCTTGTGCTGCAAGGAAAGGTAATACCAATATTAAAAATTTTGTATCTCTACTTGAGAGCAGAAGATATGGCTTTATGTCAACTCCTACACAATTTGTCCACAATGTAAATGAATCAGCTATCTCTTCAATCAACTACTGCTCCAGTAACTCAAAATTGTTGCGACAGTATGATCTTTGCAATTCTACTAAAATTTCATTCAACAAATCTGATGACTCCTTCGTTGTCATTGATAAATATACTGGAAATTTTTATTCTGTAAATATTGATCCAAAAAAGAATAAATCATGGAAAAATGTGCCTAACTACTCTTTAAAGAAACCCAACTTTGATTTAAAAATAATTTCACATCAAAGATTACATTGTAAAGTTCTTGATTTTTCCTGGCTTGATGATGAGAATGTAATAGCATTCGGAGTTTCTTCTGACTTCTCTCCAATTAGTAAATTGATCCTACAAAGCAAACACAGCAACGGCATTAACAATGAGTACATCTTTCCTTACAGAATGTTCGGTGGTGTGGTCGATTCAGATGTTCGTGCTCTTGCATTTAGTCTTCAATCCCGTTTGGTTGTTGCCCCTGTCGAAGAGAGACTCTTCTGTCACAGTCTAAATAACAAGTGGGAATTTCCTTGTTCACCGTATATCTCAATGGACTTTTCCAAAGATGTTTGTTCTGCTTTTTTCTTTTATATATATTTATTTATATTATATATATTTATTATTTATATCTTAATGGTTATATCCCAAAGATGTTTGTTCTGCTTTTTTCTTTTATATATATTTATTAACCTCCTTTAATTTTTAATTTTTTGTAGGGAAATGTTTTGTACATCGGAAGTGAAAGAGGTAAAATCAACTTTTTGGATCTTAAAGCTGGAAAAATATGTAGATTTGTACAACATAATTGTGAAACCGGAAGAGATATGTCTACATCTGTAACAGACATGTACACTTCATGTGATGGCTTTTATTTGTTATTTGGGTCCTCGAAACAGGTTTACTCTTTACCGTTTTTGTTAAGATCATTTGAAAATCATTCTTATCTACATTATTATTATTGTTTTAAAGATTGCCTTGCTAGATATCAGAGTGGGAAAAGTAGTTCTAGACTATGCAGGGATTTCTCGTTCTCACAAATCACAACCAGTTCATGTTGACGCAAATGAGCAATTCGTTTCCTCAGGTTACCTACCAATAATATTCATTTGAATGAAGAATTTATATGATCAATATGAAATTTTTTTATAATTAAGTTGGTTTGTGGACAACTTTTTCATTTCCTGCAATCCTTTTAATATGCGTTTGAGTTTAAAAAAACTAACCACAATTTCTGGGCTGTCTTAATTTTGGGCATTAAGATAAACGATGGTAACATTGTAAGATGATTTACTTACTATCAATATAATCAAACAAGGTAAAAATGCATTTTTAGTGAGTCTCAATTTTCGGAAATTATTATAGTAAAATTAACTTAATTTTAATTAAATGATGCAAATTCAGTTTGTGGTACATTTGTTTGTATAATTAGTACTGTAATGTTTTTTCTTATATATTTTGAATGTTTCTGGTCTCCTAATGTTGCATGAAGGAATATGCAATTGTAAAATAAAATCAAGTATATCAAATTAATGATTTATATCGGCCATTATTGTTAGCTCTGGGCAGAGAATATGTGTTGATGCAAAAAAAGTTATTTTGGCTGTAAAGCGTGCTGAGTTTAATAGTTTCAGTGGATTTCATATACGACAAACTTTCATTTAGAAACTGGTTTGAAACATTGATGTTCTAAAAATGGGTGTATTAAGAGTATGCTAACAATTATTATTTTATAATTTGTTTATAACAATTTACATCAGATGTTTCAAACGGCTTCAGTCTAATTGCAGTCTTTACTCTTTAGATACGTTTCAGACACGTTTTCAACAGTTGTTTCATTTATTACATTTTCTAGCATTCAATCGGACATACGGTCTTTCATGTTTACTTCCGAATATCACTTGCATGATTTTCAGTGTACTAAGCAATTCACGAATTTGCTGTTGTAGCGTTTAGCGTTGGACATATTACTGTTTAAACGACGCACAGCAAAATCGAAAGCGGTTTGCCTTTTTTGTGGTATATATTTTTTCCGCGTTTTCACTATATAATTATGAACGTTGAAGAATTATCGGCGGCGTTAAAACGTGAATACAGCGATATAGTGCTGGCATATCAGTTATTTCGTTGTTCGTTATAAAGAGGTCTGACTATATATATATAGTTATTTGGAGAATCATCTCCATATTGTTGTGAATAGGTAGGTTTCTCATTGTGATATTCGATTGGATGTTATCTGAGAAATAGCCTCAATGGCACATTTTCTAAGCGATTCTTGCATAATATTATTTTTTCTGTAGTAGTGATAATTAATTTATTGATACTTTCAGTTGGATCAGACGGATATACACACATTTGGGACTTCAAGACAGCACGGAAACTTCGCAACATTCCACCACCCTCACCTGTTCACTTGGATGCACCAGCAATTTCTTTCATGCCTAAAAACGAATTACCCGGTCTAATGATGCTGCATCAAAACAATTTTTATGCTTACATTTCTTAACGTGAATAGTTTTTGAACTTTACGTCATTAATGTATGCTGTTAAAGTGTTTTGTATAAACTTGTATATACTTGTATGTTGATGAATAAATTTGTTTTGAAAGCAAAATTGTGTGTATGCGTTGAAAAAAATAAATCTCTTCCAGTTAAAAGTCTTTAAAAGTTTAAATCAATCAATCAATAAAAGTTAGACATCATTCACATTCCTGACTCCAGGGTTGTTAACGCTACTCATACGAAGGAGCGCTACTTGAATGAAAAAAATAGCGACAAAATCGCAACCGCTACTTTCTGTCGAATATATATAATGTCGAATCATATAAAAAGGGTTGTGAAAATATTTTTCATTTAGATCCTCCATTTTGATAGAGATCTAATTTATTGTTAGTGCGTTTAAAATTGAATCGATTGCTTAAAATATTTGCAATATCATTTATATTATTATTTTGGTATTCTAAGTTAAAAAATTTGTTTTATACTGAAAGAGATAGTTTTCAACATTAAAAGCCTGAATTAGAGATGATGGGAATTTTATGGGGATTTGGAATTACCGTTGATTTGAGAATGATGGATTGGAATGAGAAAAATGACTTGGATCAAATAGTTATCTATGCAACTCAACACGTGTTCGTGTGCGTCAACAATGAAGAAAACCACGTGCTAGCAATGGAGCTATAAACAAATTATAATATACGTACACATGTGATCGACACATAGTGCATACGCACACACGTGTGAATGAACAAAGAAAATAACCACGTATGTACGCAATTAATTATGTGGTCGACATATGCACACATATACACACACTCGTGGTCGTTAGAAAATTGACTATAGATGGGAGGTAATTGAAAGTAAATTTTATTTTTCTCCCACCTCTAGTCCAAATTGTTATTATAATTTTGATGTTATAAGTTTAAAAAAAATGTTTCGAACTGAAAGAGATAGTTTTCAACATTGAAAGTCCATTTGTTCAAATTAGAAATAAGCATGGAAACGGGAATCATTTAAATCTAGTATTTTGGAATGGGAATGGAGCTCTCAAGAAATTATAAAATACGTACACATCTACGTATTTTATAAAATTGAATAAAACTACGTGTTGGGGTTAAAACATCGTGCTAAAATTTAATAAAACTACGGATTTTTTCGGAATACAATGGAGAACAAACCACTTAAGCTTCAAAGTAACAAAAAAGAACCAATGCAAGACAATAAACAGTTATAGAATCAAAGTAACGCCATTTAATTTAGGTTTCTTTAATTCGAAGGTTCTTAATAATTACCTGCGATCTAATGAGAAAAATTTTTTGGCTAAAAAGCTTTAAAAGTAGCGCCGCTACTTAAATCGCTACTACTCAATGAATATATATATATATATATGATGTTTGGTTTGCACGCGTATTCATATACGCTGTGTGTGTTTGTCGTTGAAACCTCTGAAGCTAACGCGAAAGAGAGAGTAATCTTTAACCTTTATATATATATATGTATATGTGTATATATATATATATATATATATATGTATATATATGAAAACAATTGCGTTACAGAAAAAAGATCGTATGGCGATTAGCATGTAGCGCTGGAACGTCATTAACATATATGTTAAAGGGTAATTAGCCTACGACGTATATGTTCCAATAACCTATAGCAATCCATCTTTGATACAACACCGCCCCTCGAATAAAATGGTAATGCAAAAGTTGAAAATTGTTCTGGAGGTTAATGTAGATAAAATACATTTTAGTTTTATTTAATTAAAATATATTCAACACTTAATTAACTAAACGTTTTAAAAATATTTTAAAAATATTCTTATTATATGGTAATTGGCTTGTAGTATTACTTTGTAAAGTTTACTTTTCGTTATTGTGCCAAATGTTACCAACTTCATTAGCGAGTCTGTGAAATTGCGGTGTACGTTCTGACTATATTTTTGCGGGAGCATAATTTGAATTGTGATACGAACAACAACATCTTTTGCTCTAAAATTTGCTGAACTTTGTCAACAAAGGTTTTTATTATTATTATTTATTTTTATTTTTTTTAATTTAACATGTGATAACTTGATAAGTTATGTTCTGATATTATATAATTATAATATATATATAATTATAAATTATAAAATAAATAAATTGTTTTTTTTATCATCTTATCTTATAATATAATTCTTATTTAATTTGTGTTATGATTATGATTATCATAATATTTAGCAGGGTTAGTGTTTTTAAATGTTATATTTTTTAATTAATTTATTAATTATTTGTTAATAATATTATTTTACGACTGGTAAACTTATGTATTATATAAAAATGTTTGTTTGAGACAGATGTCTGAAATAAAACTTTCCAATCCACCATCGGATTGCATATCATCATTGTGCTTCAGTCCTACTTCATCCCAGTTCCTGCTTGTTTCCTCATGGGACAACAATGTTCGACTTTACGATGTTAATGAGAATGTTTTGAGGACTCAATATTCTCACACACATGCTGTTTTGGACTGTTGCTTTCAAGTATATTATTTAATATTTCTTATTTAATAGTTTCAAATAACATGTTATGTAGAATTTTTTAATTGAAAATAATTGCAGGATGCTGTAAATGTTTATAGTGGTGGTCTTGACAATACATTGAAACTTTTTAACTGTAATACAAACACAGGCTAGTCGCTTTTATAAAAGAAAGAAGTTTTCATTATTTATTTTTAAATTTTGATGTTTGTCATAATACTGTGTTAATATATATTGCAGATGTTTATAATTGTCATGAATTGCATAAAACTTTAATTTTAGTTTGTTAATGTTAAGCTTTAATATTAGTTTAATATTAGTTAATGGTTTTGAGTTTAGCAACCATGTTGTTTTGTTACATGAGATCAATTCACATGCCCTGGTTGGTTTTTTAATTTGGCAATGTGGTTTAAAAAATTTAGAAGAATTAAATATGGAGGCCCTGAGGAATTCTAAAGTAACACTTTTTGCTAACTATACTGGATTTTGTTTCTTCTTTTGTAAGAATGGCTTTACTCTCTACAATTAGCTTAAACTTCATGAATGATTATGATGTGGACCCCTGATCATATTGCATCATTAAGACTCAGTGATCTCATTAATGAAATGAATTGACATGATGACTACTTTTTTTTATTAACTTATTAAAAATATTTTTCTTCAGAATCTGTTATTGGAACACACGCCGCTCCGATAAAGTGTGTTGAATTCTCTTCTGAACATAATGTTATCATCACAGGTAGTTGGGATTCAAATGTGAAACTTTGGGATCCCAGATCTCCTACTACTGTCACCTCATTGCTTCAGTCAAACAAGGTTTATTTTTTAAAAACGGTTTGATTTTAAAAATTTTTCATTTCATATTGAGGTTGTAGCAGACAGAACAAAGTATTGTTTGCAAAATTAAAATTATATTCTAAATATCCATATCTATAATACAACAGCTTTTTAACCTTCCGGCGTTTTTTATTTTATCCTAACTTATATTTGCATCATCAATTTATTCATGTTAATAGAGGTTAAGCTTTGCATAGTTTTTGGATTTTATAATGTTAGTTAACAATTTAAACATTCAACAAGTGCCATGCACTCTCTCTTCAGCTTGAAAGGCACCTGGAGCCTATATAAGCATTTTGGAGAAATGTGCTTTTAACATTTTTTTCTTTTGACACACTGAGAAACAGTCTTATCTTTGGAAGCAGCCCATGCCTGGAGCAATGCAACAAGGTGATGGGATGTAGCAATAGGGATGTTTAGGAAGTTAGTGAGAATTTATGAAGCGATCTGTTGTTTTTGTAACAAGTAATAAGTCTTTAAAACAGGTCATGATTTTTGTCACCAGGATTTTGATAGTCAATTTACAGTTTTTTAAATAAGGTTAAAGGAAACTGGAAGCTCAAGCAGGATTGAAAGAGCAAGTAGGTTTGTAAAGAAAGAGCTTGTTGTACAGGAGGCTTTACACAAAGGTGAATTGCAATAGTCCAGTCTTCAGAAAATTAAGCATCCACTATAAATAGAAGTTATATCTATACGCAGTTTTATTTTTGATTGCACAGGTTTGGTTGTCATAGCTGCATTATCTTTATTACTCACACAATTTCTTCTAGGTACTTTTGTAGAAATAATGATTTGGCATAAAGGGCATTCACTCAGATGTTATAATTTCAATTGAGTACATTTGACCTTAATGAAAATATTACTTTTGTAGGTTTATACCATGTCACTATGTGGAGATAAACTGATTGTAGGAGCAGCAAAAAGAAAAGTGTTAATCTGGGATCTCAGAAATACTGGCTACGTTGAGCAAAAAAGAGAATCAAGTTTGAGGTATCAAACGAGGTGCATCAAAGCCTTCCCCAACAAACAGGGATACGTTCTTAGTTGCATTGAAGGTATGCATGTTGTCGCCGATACAATTTCTAATGATCTAAATTGACCTAAATGATCTAAATCTAAAATGATTTAAACCAATAGGAAGAGTGGCAGTTGAATACATTGATCATTCTCCTGAGATTCAAAAGAAGAAATATGCCTTCAAATGTCACAGAATCAAAGAGGATGTGGAAAAAATTTATCCTGTCAATGCTCTGGCATTTCATAATATACATAGTACATTTGCAAGTGGAGGATCTGATGGCTTTGTCAACATTTGGGATGGATTCAATAAAAAAAGGCTTTGTCAATTTCACAGGTTCTTGCTTTCATCTGATTGAAGTAAATTGTAAACCGTTGATGAAATATATTTAATTGTTTTATGTCATTCATTCATTCATTCATTTATTCATTCATAATTAATTAATTCAATTAATTAATTTATTTATTCATCAGATATCCAACTAGCATATCTGCCCTGTGTTTTGATAACAGTGGAACAGTTCTTGCTATTGCTTCCTCGTATTTATATGAAGACGACCAAATGAAACCACCGTATCCAGAAGACAATGTCTTTATTAGGAGAGTTACGGATCATGAAACCAAGCCAAAATAGTTCTAGTGTAAAACAGTAACTCTATACTAACCATATATCGAACAGTTGGTGTACAATGTACATACACTTCTTTAAAACATGATGAAATGAAAAATCACTCGTAAATCTCGTTTTGAGCTATTTTTGGCAATTTCTGAAGTTGACGATAAAGACGTTAACATTTGACATTTTCTTTTACTTGTTACAACGTAATTTTTCAAAATAAATTATCAGACTGATTTCACCGGGTGTGTTAATATAGCATGATGCTTAGTTGTTCGCATTGCTTTTTTTCGCATATCCTACTTGTAACCTGGTTCCTTGTATTGGCTACCTCAAAAGGTGTAAACGTTATAAACATTTTTAAATTGTGAACAATGATTAATGCTCACATTGATGCGTGAACGATTGCAAGATGTGAACATCATATACATAAAGAGTAATATGAATGATAACGCTTGCTGCATAAATCTCAACATATTTTAGTTTCTACCAGTTGTCACTGTTTGTGTAGGATAAATTGACTAATTCCACCTAAATGGCATGAACGTTCTTTCACTTTCTCAGTTTTTATCTATTAATCGTTATAGCACTTTGCCTTCGCATTTTTTGTTTATTCGTAATTCTACCTTCTAAACAGAAGTGGTCATAGAAATTTATTGAACTAAAGTAGTTGAATTTAACGTTGGTTGGCAAGCATAACAATTATTCACTGTCACGTGTTCTAGTTTTGGTATGTACCTTCAAAGATTCAGAGGTATATATACTAATATATGTCACACCATTTTAAACGTAAATGGCTAGGCAACATTTTTAACAACTGAAACATAAATTGGTTAGCGTTTTTTAAACAATCGTCAAAATTTTGTAACTAATGGTATGTACTGTTTGAAAGAGATTTGTTCAAATGAAGTAAAAATTTAATTATTCACTAATGTTAAATATTTGACATAGATTTTCATTTTATAAGTAGGTGCACTTAAACTGAGTGAGTGATTTTTAATTATTTTGAAGCACTTGCATAATTTTGATATATGGTTGGAGTCACTAACATCTCGTGAGGCGTTTTGCGAAGAAGCATTCAATTTTATTTTGCAAAAAGCAGTGTAGAAAAGATTCCAATGAGTTATTTTAATTTTGACTCGGAAAATAAATCTAAAAACTTTAATTACAAGTTCAACTTTTAATTAAAAAGACATTGGTTAACAATCAAAGAAAGAATAACTTTCATAATAAGTACTTTCATATTCAAATGCTATCTTATCAAATGCCAGCTCCTCAATGTATGGTCAAAAAGTTGATGACATTTTCAAAATCTAGACACATTTAAAGATTGTGCTTAAACGACGCAAGGTGTTGTCAGTTTATTTCTTGTTACCGGCATGAGAAAGTTTTTTGTCATCGTTTCAATAATCTAGAACAGTCTTTCCACTCAGCTTCAAATCATCAAATTCGCCAAATAGGCCCATAAAATTTTGATAAGGATTAAAGCATTTTTGTTTACTAAAAGATATAGCTCAATGCTTCCACTCGGTAGCGCTTTTGAAATTGTTTATAAATACTCTACACTCTGCAATAATAATAATAATAAAAATATTAATAATAAAAATTAATTGTACATTAAATATATATGTGTGGTTGTGTGTGTGTGTGTGTGGTGTGTGTGTGTTAGATACAAGTATACAAGTGGTTTATATTAATTTCCTTGCGACAGACACTTTATACTTTCTGATTTACAGGTTATATTTAATAAATGGTTTATTTGAGCGTTTATTATTAAATCGCTGTGTACCTACAATGAAGCAAACCATTCAAAAATGAACGCGCGAATTCAATCAATTCAGAATGCTTGTAGGCGCAGTAAAGGCAGGCACTTACTTTTTTTCATTTAAAATATTGAAGAATTATTTTTTTGTAATACTTTGTAATAGTATTTTAGTATTCGATAGTATTTGTAATACTTTTTAATTTTTTGGGGATAAACAATATCTAACAAAATTGCAAATTACAGTTGGTCTGGCTTTTTATAAAATAAAAAGTCGACTGAACGGCATGTTTATAGATATAGATGGGAAAAATCCTGGAAGCAGATTAATAACCAACGTTGCAGACGAGAGTGACACTCAACTTTGGTATGACGAGCCAATCAGCGGATGTATAAAAAATAAGTCCAACAATTTGTGCCTAGACTTGCAAGGTGAGATTATTTTGTATCATTGAAAATTAACATAATTTTGCCGTCGATGAGACTCTATTTGAAATATAATCAAAAACTTAATTGAAAAATTGAGAAAACCGTTCTACAAAACAAGGAAATGTTATTTCATTGTACCTAATTTGAGCTTATAACGTTAAACAAACACGCTGGTTAAAACCAAAAAGTAACAAAGCAAGCCTTTTAAAAGTCTTTATTAAAAATTCAAAAGTTGAAAAATACAAATATAAAAGCAAAATACAAAAATATTAAAATATGGAACTTTAAATACATAAAATTTGCTCTCGATTGGTAAATAATAATTTTAACTTTATTATTCGAATCCATGGTAAAACATTCCAAAAACTCTTTTGAGATGATTTCAGCTAAAAAAATTTAATATTCTCTAAAGATTTTACAGCTATTGTCAACATTCCATTATATGGAACGATGAATCAACACTGGCAAAGAATTGGCGAATCCATAGTAATGTCAGAAAAACCAGATTGGCTGCTGGAAATTAATGGTTAAATTGTTCTTAAAAATTTCGCTTTAAACTTATTTTTGTTTCAAATGTTTCGAAAGTATTTTTCATTGCTTCCAACAGTTTTAAATCTACCTTTACGGTATTTCTCTACTGTACGATTTTTCAAAAGTGATCGGTTTGGCACCTTTTGCTTGTAATTCTCCAGTTTCCATAATAGTTCACATGATTGTATATATGTGATGCCAGTTCTACCAACACAATTGGCTATATTTTTTTCAAAAGTGACTCACGAAAGAACTGCATGATTTTGTATGAAAAGATGTTTATTATATAAAATATCACAAGCTGAGCCTTTTTAAACTTTTTTTAAACAAAATATTACAAAAAAAAACTTTCGAAACTAAACTAAGCCAAACTAAGCTATGTACTTAAACTAGCTCAATCGAACTTTGAAACGTATAGTAAGTACTTCGAGTGTCCAAACAATTACTTAACTATGTTGACCATATACTTAAAATACTTCATAATAGTTCTTATTAAATTTATAAAGGTGTCACATATTCCGATGTCACAAATTTGTTAACGAGTCATGTAATGACACTGGGAATCTCTTATTACATGTTTTGGGTGTGATGCAAAATGTCTATCATTCGTTGAAATCATATTCTAACGTATGTATTTATGTGAAATTTATATAACTTTAAGATTCTGATCCTACTCCTGGAGCTCATTTAGTTGTTAATAGAACAAATTACAACGTAAATCAAGGTTTCGAGTTTACTTTTGTTTCAACAATCGAAAATTGCCAAAAGAAATATTCCACGCCATCTCCACCTGTTCATACACCTTTCCCTCCGAATCCTCCTCAAATTTATTACGCCAAGACTGACATTAGAAACGAATGCTTATCAAGAAACGATTCGCCTTCCACTAATTTTCAGAGGTTATTTATGTTTTTTCACATTTTAAAACTAAATATACAATTTAAACTATGAATATCTGGCTTTTAACAGTAGAAAGTTCTATATTGTCAATGATAAACATTCCAAAGTGTTAACTATCGAATATGAAAACACGTTACGAGAAGCACACGCAGTGCTCTCCAGCAGAAGTTACCCGCCTGCCTTGAATCAATTGTGGTACGTACAAGCGGACGGAATTATAAGTTCATATTTGAATGACTTCATGATTGATAACGCAGGTTTGTAGTTTGAATGTTTTCAGAGTTGTAACAAAATTGTAGTCGACAAAAAATTTTACAGCACGTGCCAATAAATTATGAAACTATGAGTTTTGTTTGAGTTTTGTTCATATTTGTGAAAATATTTAAATTTAATTGAAATAAAATATTCGTTACAAAAAGAAAAGCTACATTTTTAAGATTTTCGTAAAATTGATGAAATTTTAATAATTTCAGATGGAAAAATAAAAATGAAATCTTCTATTGGAAATCCTTTCCATAAATGGGAAAGTTATGGAAAACACGTAACCGATGAAATTGGCGATTGTTTGGCCAATCGAGAAAAACCTGGCGTAAAAATTTGTAACTTATTTTCTGCTCCTTGCCAAGATGTCATCAATGAAGAGTGGCGATTTGAATATGTATCAAATTAAATTTCATGTATATAATGAATGAAAATATGATTTTTCAAGAAACAGTGAAATGACGAACGTTTTAATGCTTTGCCATTTCTTTTCATTTAAACGTATCCAAGTAGCCAATTAAAAAAATGTTTACCACCATTTAGGTATACAAATTGTAAAAATCACGTCGTTCAAAATAACTTATTCAATTGTTTAATTTTTCGTTGTTTACTTGGTGTAAATGTAAACAATCAATATTTTGAGAGTTGAATTTATTTTTCAATTTTTATGACAGAAATTTAGTTTTCCTAAGAAAGTTTGAGCACCAGAAACAATACATCAATTGTATAAATTAATGACAGATGATTGATATAGAAAAATAAAACAAAACTTCGCGCCAGCACTTTTAACAACAAAAAAATCGCCGAGTCATTCTTAAACCTAAATAAAGCTGCTTATCCGCTGAAGACCATGTGAATGCAGTGCGCGCTAACGTGCTGTTGATTGTTTTGTTGTGACCGCACAACACAGGAGTGCGCATTCTGTTGCGTTTTTATATGAATATCGAATAACATTGCCGAGTGCCGACTTGACGTCTCTGTGATTGTTCGATTGTTTGATTGGCGATTACAATATTTGATTGATAATTGTTGGGTAACAACGATTGAGTGTATGAATGACTACTTTTGTGTGCATAAATGATTGCATGATTGGGCGATTTCCTTTTTTTGAGTGATATGATTATATTTTACTTTTTTTTGTTCGTAATTTTGAGAGTTGAATTGATGATTGATCAGGTCAGTCAATTTGATGGCCGTTTAATTAATTTATTATTTTTAAATTGTTGAAACAACAAATAAATATTGCTTCAATGAATTTTAATCAATATTTCACATAATTGATGTTATATGATACCTAAATGTGAATCATGTTACCACTTCAAACCTTTACGTATTGATTGCTCTCTCCTATATATCATATAATACTAGGAGTGTGTCGTGTATAACCTTCCTCCCAAGCATAGGCACACAACGTGTTGGCGGCATTAAAGGTTTACATTAATTACTATTGATAGTTAACTAAGGATCGACTTGATAAAAAGCGTACCGTTTAAAAAGCACACAGAATAGAAAATAGGCAGCTACAACAATCAATTCAATCAAGGGCTAAATTGATTATTTATTTACTTATATTTCCGTTCATTTTACATGTGCTTATTATACATAAAGCCAAAAAATAATTAAAAATTGAAGTAGAGCGACAAAACTTAAGAACAATAAAGGCAGCTTTTTATTTTTACATGTCAATTAACTAGTAACGTGAGTAATAACAATTAAGTATTGTTCATAAAAATTGAACAAGTCCAATGATAGTAATGGTTATGAATATATATATATATATATATATATATATATATATATATATATATATATATATATATATATATATATATATATATATATATATATATATATATATATATATATATATATATATATATATATATATATATATATAATTTTTTTAAATGCTTCACATATTGGCGTTTTTAACACTTGGCATTATGTAAGCAAATTTGTTCGCTACAGCAGCCACCCCCGTCATTGGCCACGTTGTGAATTATTATTTCGTGGACGTAACAATGAAATGTGCATTTGAAAGCGGCCGTGACATAAAAGTTTCACGCGATTTGATATTACGAGTAGAATCAAGTTTGTAAACAGCACAGCTGTCCTCAGTTCTTCTAGCATGCCGTCTATTCAAGTTTTACAGGACAATATCAGCAAGCTAGCCAAGGCACTCATAAACACGTGCATGTGCATGTGCATATATATATATATATATATAAATATATGTATATATAAATGTATGTGTATATATATATATAACATACACATATATACACATATAGCTATATATATTGTCCAGTAGCAGCCCGGTTGACCAATATAACGAGCGATAAATTGAGATATTAAAATTTTAAACTAGTCATGTGAATCGACATTTTTTACTTTTTTTTTGTAATTAAGTTTTGTTTCAGTAATTGCAGATAATTATTTTGTTGCCTTAAATTTAAAGTCGTGGAGTACTAAAGCACAACGACAATGAAAGTATACAAGTACAACCCAATAACTGTATCGCCTATAAAAGTAGAGAATATTTTTAAATATTTTTTAGTCGGTAAAAAATTTAAATGTTCTCACTTTAAATGCTGCGAAATGTGTTTCTGCAGTTGCCACATATATATTCCACGTGGTGCGGTGGATTCTACGGCTGCTTTACGGATTATTCGACTGTTAACATGAGAAAAAATAGCTCAACACCAGATTATTAAAAACAAAGACTTTTAATCATCACGTGCGTCATGGCCGATTGCTGGGTGAACGTGTTTGATTGAGAGTCTGGCTTTGTTTCTATTGACAGATATTTCTGTCATTTAAAAAAAAAACTTTAAAAAAAGCCATTTTTTAAACTCTACAAAACCTGAATATTCATCTCATCTTCGGTCAGATCTAAGGTTGGCACGCTTTGTTGGCATGTTTCGGAGCAGAAAACACGTGGCATTGTTAAAAATTAAAAACTATGTTCCGACTGATCAGCGTTATCATTATGCCACCCATAATTAATTGTCTTTTTTTTATTTATTTTATTACATGTGCAAACGATTGTTTTTGCAAAATATATGTTTTCGTTTGCGTGTAGAGTGCTGACGGAGACCTGATTTCGCTGATGGAGTCCCTGCCTTATGGCATTCAGCCGTTTATTGAAGATTTCAATCACGATCAGGTAATTGCAATTGATATTATATTTAATTTTTTTCAAAACGTTTTCATTTGTTTAAAAAAGTTGACAAATGAATGCATGACTGATTATTCTAATTCTACTACCTATTAGAGAGTTAGAGTGACTAACTAACTCTAGTCTATTATAAATTATATTATTCAATTATTCTAATGAATCTACTTCATCTAATAATCCTAAAGCTTATCTAACATCCACACCACACCCTATTAGTTCACTTCTACAACAAATAGCAGTCTGGTACTTGAATATATTTTACTTAAATAATTTTTAGTTAATAAGTTAGTTTGGTGACTGTTTTTAATGTTTAAAATCTTATTAGGTGTGATTTTCTAATTAGTGTAGTTTGTAGTTTGTGCATATTTTTAATAGGTTCGGTTTTGGTATTAATATGAATTTGTGCATGTGTGATTGTGCATGTGAGTGTTTTAGCTTGTATGTAATTGATTATTTTTTTTGGTAATATGGGATTGGCCTTATGTTATGGGCTGCACTCATTTACTTTGGTTATGTTATGTTAATGCTATGTTGTCCATGTATGAGCATGACTTCAAACAAGATGATAAGGTTATTCATGAAAAAGTGTTGCTTGACATGATGTTGCAATATGCAAAAAAATTGAGTTAAAAACCAGATAATTATTATAATTGAACAAAATATAAAGGTTTTGATATTATCTTGTGTACTATTAAAAATAAAATATATGATATAGTACAAGTCCATGAAATCAATCCCACTAAGGTAGCCCCAAGAGTTAAATATCATTTATTTATTAGCAAACACATCTTTTGATTATATGCTCCATAAAAAATGATTACAATGACACATCTTTTTTCATATCTTACTTAACTTAAAAAATGAATGAAGGATAAGTGAAAGCAGGTAATTTCAATTGCATGTGCAATAATTAACTGGGAAATTTAATAGACACATCTTGTTGATTATGTTTTTATATGTTGGATTTTTACTAATGTGTCTAATTGCATTGCAGCATATTTATGCGTCCAGTCCTCAACAAGAAAGTATGTTCTTCTCTTCTGCTGATTACTTGCCAGATGACTTAATGAATCTTCAATCAGAGGAGATATATGATTACAATAGTGTTATAAATTTAGCACCACTCAGTGAAAGTTATTATCCATTTGTCAGTGATGTTTTTAAAACAACATACGGAGATGTCCTCAATGTTTCCCCAAACAACTTGAACTCAACTGCAAGTTATGTTGATGTTATTGATATCGATTTTGATATTGGCAATCAATTGCAACTAGAAAGGGCTGATGATAGCATCAACACAAGTCTTGATAACCTCAACATATCTTTGCTTCTTGATGATAATCAGTTAAACTTCTTCAACGGTTTTAAAGATAGCACTCCTGAGTTAGATAATGGAACACAACCTCTTCCAAAACTCCCAGAGCAAGGTTTTATATGCATATATGAAATTTTCAATATTTTTTTTACAATTAAAAATTACAAGATCAGCATGTTGAAAAATAGAATATGTTTGTCTGACATGGATTTTTGCTGAACAATCTTGATGGTGAAATGTATAATTTAAATTAAAAATTCAGTGAAATGATACAAATATTAATATGAAGTTTTATTATAAATAATTGTTATATTTATTTATTAATACAATAGATCTTAAAAAATAAGATTTATCTTTAATTTTTTACCCAATTTTATTGTGTCATTGTTTGAGAATCTTGTTTGTAAGATAATGATACCTGAAATCTTGCTCTGCTTAGGTTTTGAAGCTGCGGATGGATATGCTTTGTTAGATATATTGGAGAGAGGTTTGTGTATATTTAAAATTTTTTTTTGTTTGTATTCTTCAAAGTTCATTCTCTTTTAGAGGCAGAAAATGTTACAACATGCCAAAAATATAGAAATCAATACCAAGGATTGAAATGATGCTTAAATAATATGTATTAAATTAATTTTAATTCAAAATTAATTTTAATTCAAAATTAATTTTAATTCAAAATTAATTTTAATTCAAATCACTTTAGAAATTCAAGCATCAGTTTATCCACAGGATGAGCTCATTGACATTTGTAAAGAGTATGTTTTAATTTTTAATTTCTTAGTCTTAAATAATTAAGCTACTCTCACTCATAATTTCTTTATTTTCAAGTTTAATGATTTATCATAATCAGTGTGTAACATTTTTTAAAATCTTGGCTCACTCTTTCAAACTCAATCAGAGATAAAGTTCCTTTAAAGCTGGAACACGAAGCACCAAAGCCTGCTGAATCTGGATCTTCAACTGAAGCGCTGCAAAAGAACATGATTCAAGTTACACAACCTAACAACATCAATCATGCTGAAACAATTGTTTCTGGAAGCTGTTCTAATGTCATAGCTAATTCGGAGAGAATAACCAACAAAAAAGATAAATCAGAAAGTGTTTCAAAAAATAAAACAGAAATCAATAGAACCAAAAAATGTTCAGAAAGTAAAGAGGACACGAATGAAAGACTCAAAAGAGTTATTGCTAAGTTACAAGCTAAAAATCAAAGTGCAGAAAAAATTAGAAAAATGAAAGAAAAGGCAAAAGAATTATCTCAAAAAATTGAGCAACAACGAACAATGAAATTAAAAAACAATTGTCAGCCTCAAATAAACGACCATTTACAAGATCATGGCTACTCAAATAATATTAAAAAAAATGACCCAGAAAAGAAAAGTGTTAAAATTGATAATAGAGAGTCTGGCTTTTCAGTTAATAAAACAAAAATTTCAAATAGTTTGCCCAAAGCTGAAAACTTATCACAGAAAATTAGTCAAACAAATAAAACATCAGACAAAAAAATGCACAAAAGTGAAAAATCTTTCACTCATCTGAAGAAGCACTCAAAAAAACAAAAACAGGATGATTCTCAGAAAGATAATAATGGCAAATTGGCTTTAGCTCAAAATGCAGCACCAGTCATTTTGTGTTCTGCTATTAATAACCCACAAAAGATGGCATCAATTTTAAAAATTTCTAGATTTAATTCAAGTTCAACAAAAGCAACTTCTGATGGTATTAACAGCTTGAAACAAATTGAAAGCGTTTCTCTTAATAATAACATTAATCTCTCAAAGTCAGATGTTAATCTTTCAAATAACTTGCCAAAAAGTCATTCACCAACCAAAGATCTTACATCAAAATCTCCGATGTTGAATGAAGAGGTTCTCCAAATACCTGCCCCATCCTGTTTTGTTCCTGATATGATGCAGGAAGTTGTTATTGATTATAATGGTAATCCTGTGTCTGAGTTGTCTTCAGCATCTTCCAAGGTTAAAAAAAAAATAACAATATCGGATTACAAAATGCGGTTACCATTAAGAAATCTTGGAGAAAACAACAAACCCAAAAATCTCATGGAGTGTGATCAAGTTGTTGAGTATGATTATTCCATGACTGTCGACCACAATTATCATAAAAGCTTCCACAGGGCTCCAAAAGAAGCTAGTGAAAATCCAAGGCAGAATAATGACAGTAAGCTGTCTGTTTTACAACCATTAAACATTCATAATAATGATGATGGTAACTTTGCAACAAGAACTGATGCAAAAGATGCCTCAACAACGCAATGCAATGATGATAACTTTAGAGCTAGAAAGCGACTTCGTGATGTGGTGGATGACTCTTTCAAAAATGACATTCAGAAAGCCAGTTTAGAATCAACTTTGGTCTCTCAGTTTGCTGCAGAACTGCAAAAAAGAAGAAAGCTAAAAGACAATAAAAAAATAAATGCATTTAATTCTAAAAGGTACCGTTAATTTTTTACCTATCACATCGGTATTGTTAGTCCTAATTTTTATCATGTTGCAATAGTTAAGGCACTCTTTCTAATGCAGAGAGATTCCACATTTGCATGCAATATGTATGTTGCTCGTTTTATGCGTGTTTACATATGCTGTTCGTGTTTGTTGCTAGTAGAATGAATTATAAGAATTTATGGTAATAATAGTTTAAAATGATGTTAATTTTGTTGCATTTAAATCAAGGACCTTTTATGCGACTAGTGAACAAATAGACCAGGATGATGAGGAAGGCGAAATAAAATCAGGTTGTTCTTCTCCGGAAATTATATCTGACACTGAGTCTTCATCGTCTGAAAGTTCTGATGGATGTTCATCTGGAAGATCGAGATACAATTCGCCATATCGTTCAGATGAATCTCCCAGCCATCAAGCCGGACGATCTTCTAAAAATAGATCAAGATACAGATCAAGAAGTAAATCCAGATCTAGAAATCGATCAGCCTGTGCATCCGGTAGTTCAAGAAGTCATTCGAGGAGTACTCAAAGAAGTTGTTCAAGATCATCAAATAATAGGTTTTTTGTGCTTTTAAAATAATATCCTAATGACTACAAACTAACCTTTTCTACTAAGATAAATTTTTTTTAATTTTTGTAGAAGTGATTCACCCAAGACAAGGATTGACAAGAGAATTGCAATGGTAACTTTTCGTTTTTATTACAAAGTCGTGAAGACATTGGTTGTTATATAATTGCGATGATTATGATGAGCAAGGTATTTTTTGTAGGAGGAACGACGTGTCGTATATATAAACCACCTGCCTCCTCGTTTCTCCAAGTTTCAACTTCAAAAAATGATGAGCTATTTTGGACCTGTGATTGAAAGCAGTATCCACTTCAGGAACAGAAGGTTTCTATTTGAGCTTTTCATAAATATTAATATTTTATCACAACACTTTGTGTCATACTATTAATTTGTTTTGTCCTATCTGCAGTGAATGCTATGGGTTTGTTACGTATGAGACACCTCTTCAAGCTGCTCAGGCTATTCAAGGTGGTTATCTTTACATATCCTACTGCATATACTTCGTATCTCACTACAAAAATGTTTGAATGTGTGACACATATAGAAAAGATGTTTCACTAAATACTTAACATTTACATGAAGCCATTTCTTTTGTTTTTCATATTTAAGAATAAAAATTTAAAACCCATGATTTTTTTAAATTTTTATATAAAACGAAGTTATATAATTTTTAAATAGATGGGCGCAAAGTTTCTGGGTGTGAAACGTTTCAGTTTTGTTATGGAGGAAGGAGAGAATTTTGCGGATCTAATTATGCTGACCTTGGTAAACCAAATATTTTATCTATTTTTTTAAACTTGTTGGTCGTACGGATTTTTGCGTGAAAAATTTATTTTGTGTTTTTTCAATGCTAACGTTAACATTTGCAGATCGCAACGCTGCCTATCGCTCTGAGGCGGACCGTCTTAAAAATATGGATTTTCAAGATTTGCTCAAAGAGGCGTATGGGAATATGAAAAATCAAAAGTCTCAGTGGGAGGAAAGCTGACTGTAAATGAAGAATTTATAGCACCAATGTTTTTCAATTCACAGCATGCATTGTCAGTTAATATTTATCATCATGTTTTTGGCAATATTAGATGATTTATTCGGTTTAAAAAATGTTCTACCAGCGCATCTTATCAATTCATTTTAACGTGAACTTGTTTATCATGTGGCTGAGCTCGCTGAAAAAGTAAATAAATTTGTAATAAGTTCGTTTGTTATGTTACTAGTTTTATTTCTGATTTTAAATATTTGCACATAAATGTCTTTCATAAAAATCATGGTCGCTAACATGATGTCAACTAGGTTAATAAGTGACGACAGAATTATATAAAAATATCTGATGAATTTATAATTTTAAAAGTTATTTTAGGCAATTGGTAAACTTTACCAGCTGTGATATTATTGACTATTTAGTTGATGTATTTATAAATGTGTGCGTCCCATTATTAATGATTGATTGTTTTTATGTGGCATTTGTGTACTTGCTTTGCCTGAGTTCTTATTTGTGACTCATCCGTTTGCTAATTTGAAACTTTAAAAAAAATTAACTTATAAAAAAATTGTTAAACTTGACAGCCTGATTAAAAGGACTGATTTAAATAAAGGTTCACAGCATGTTATGGATTTTTTTTATTTGATGTTGTTTTGTGAGGAACGTGTATTGATAGAAGCCATTCGTGCGCACGAACCGACTAAAGATTACATTCATCACATCAACACTCAACATAACTCCTCACATCAATCACAAAAATCTTCCAGACATTCTACGCACTATAAAAAATAAAAACAATGTGCTCGTGGAATCTGAAGCAGCAAACTTCAGGGAAGGCCCGTAAAGATTTGGAGCATCAAATCTGTTTATTTGGTTGTACAAATTTCCTTATTTCATTTTGTTTATTGGTTTGGTTCTTTAACTATAACCATAAAATGGTTTAAACTTATTTGCTATATATCGAATTCATGAATATTAAAAAAATTGGGTCCTGGTAGGAGAGAAACTAACAAACGGTGATAATATTGTATTAATAATTGAAATGAGATTAGATTACTAGAAAATCATGAAACGGGTTTAATAAAACAAAAACAACTTATAAATAATATATTTATCAGATATTTTTTGCCAGTTTAATATGTTTGCAGTTTGCACTACACATTTTTGAGAATCAAAGTGTACAATGAATTAAGACTTTAATAATAAAAAATTAATCTCAACCAAACGGTTCAAAACTTACTATTCTGGTATGGGTGGTGTAGACATTTTCTCAAAATGTATCTTTTTTATATCGCATTAGCATAAAAATAGTGGAGGTTTCATTTTACATATTTTTTTTGATATGATCATGACTAACGATCATCGAACTACTAATAACAGAGATTTCTCAATTCACGTATACTTACCCTGTAACTTTTAATCCTCACTTATTCTTAACTACTATTAAACACTCTTATGCTAAACCTGTGTTAGCTTTTTCTGGCCCTTTTCTCTGGATCTTTCTACATACATCATTTACAAATTTCAGAGCGGATTTCAAGACCCACCTGTTTATGAATTTCATTGAGGAGTGAGGACGACTGTTGAGCATCGCGGAAATGGCGCTTTAAAATCTAAATGATTGGTTGATTGATTGAATGGATAACAAGAATTTTGTCAACAAATGGTACAAAGTTATTTGAGAGATGGTACCGCTTTCGGCACTCAGATAAAGTAAAGCTGTATCTAATGTTGAATAATAATGAAGTTTTATTTTCATAGAAAACTAAATAAACAATTTAAATGTTGTGTATGTCATATGAAAGGGCGATTAATATGTAAATATGTGAAAAAACAATATGCTCTGAGAATTGTTATTTTGTAAAATGTTACACTACACACCAGCCAATCGTTTCCATGTGAGTACGACCTTATATTTAAAAAATAAGACAAAGGTAATTATCTACTCTTAACTTATAACTCATTGATCTACGCTTTGTCTATAGCTCAAAGTATTTACCACAACAATTTAATTTAGGAATTAATCCTTTGCGTTATATATTAATTAGCCGCAATCAAGTTACGGTTATGGTTATATATAAAACAAAATATAATAAAATATAGAGGATGTGACTTCAAAGTTGCTCTTGCCTTCGGGATGCGAAATATGGCAGTAGCTGAAATTCCATGGTATTTACTCATATATATATATATATATATATACATTATATTCTATATATTCTAGATTATATATATATTACATATGTTGGAAGGAGACCATATTTTATACAGTATTGTATGAATTCTACCGAATTGTTGGCACTAATCAATTTATAGTATGTCTTTTCAATTTTCCTTATAATATATATATATATATATATATATATATATATATATTATAGATGTTATATTCTATATATATAAATGTATTTACTCTATTGTATTTTTAACAGCTATCCTTTTGCAAACCTCTTTGTAATTAAAATGTTTACAATTATTCTATTTAGATTTTCAATTAATTTAAGAATAACTGGTGGTTTAATTAAATAGTCTGACCCAAGGAGAGCAAGGTGTGGTCTCAAACTATTTTGAATTCTCTCAGAAAAATTAGAACTGGGTGCGTACATATATAGCACTGATTACTGTTGCTTTTATAATGAATTTATATATATTTTATATATATATATATATTTTTTTTTTACAATATTCTATAAATTCTACCGAATGTTTGGCGTTAATATGTTTGTAGTTCGTTTTTTCGATTTTTCTCACGAAAGTTTTTTAGTGAACGTTTAGTTTATTAAAATTTAAAATAAACTTATTTTTCGAATTCATGCTGCAAATAAGGCCATATTTCGATTCCGAATGAATCATCATCAGTGCACGTTGCTGTATATATAGGGAAATATTGACTTAGTCAAGATGAACTTTGACGCTGTAAAAATTAACTTTGGTGTTGTAAAATTGAACTTTGATGCGAATTAGGTGTCAGGTTTCTTTATATATAAATAAATAAATAAATATATATATATATATATATATATATATATATATATACTAACACACACACACACACATATATATATATATATTGAATAGGTAAATAGGATTATTTTTATTAAGCAATTTGGGATGCAGGCACCGCTAAGCTTTCTGATAAGAATCTTCTCTTTATCTTTCTCCATCAACACAGGTCTTGTTTTCATAACAATTTCGAAGGACGACCTGAACCAGTTTTGGAGGACAACGTAGGAACCGGACCGCATTCAACATTCTGCCTTTGTCGAATGGACGACGATAAGTTTTTTTTCCATTTTACTCTCTTTATTATTTTAAAATACTATTTTGCCATTATTTTCACATTATATTTTTTGGCTTCTAAGATTCTAACATTCCTTTACTACTACGCTAACAAAAAATTTTACCTACAGAATGATGAGAGGTGGGCACATTTCAGATAGTGTTCTCATGATAATTTACACATGATGATGGTGGTGTAGGAAGAATCAGTTCGTTGGCTGTTTGGCTGACACTGAAGTTCGGATGAAATCTTGTGTGCCATCCAGATGATGGTGGTCGGTGCAATGGAGTACAGTAACGACGATTTTTGAAGTAAGGTTTAGTTTCGTTCTTCAATTTTTCTCATTCATTCGTTTGTTTTTTCATTCATTCATCCATCCATCCATCCATCCATCCATCCATCCATCCATCCATCCATCCATCCATCCATCCATCCATCCATCCATCCATCCATCCATCCATCCATCCATCCATCCATTCATCCATCCATCCATCCATCCATTCATTCATTCTTTCATTTTATCACTCAATATTTCAAATTATTTTTCCATTAAATAATTTTTTAAAATAATTGAATCATTGATTGATTACTTAATTAATTAATTCATTAACTCACTCAGGCATTCAACATTCTGCCTTTGTCGAATGGACGAAAGTAAGTTTTTTTTACATTTTACTCTCTTTATTATTTTAAAATATTATTTGTTTGCCATTATTTTCATTTTATAATTTTTTCTTCTAAGATTCTAACATTCATTTACTACTACGCTAATAAAAAATTTGCCTACAGAATGATGAGAGGTGGGTTGTGGTGGGCGTCAGCACGTTTCAGATGGTGGTCTCATGATGATCGTTCCGATGACAATAGGATGATGACGAAGATAATGCTGAGAGGCGGGTTTTGGTGGGCGTCTGCACTTTTCTGATGGTGGTCTCATGATGAACCTTTCGATGACAATAAGAAGTATCTGGAGAGTACACGCGCGCACATTTACGCACATACATCAATACAACACACACATACACAACATCCATTCATTCGGTGTCGTTGTTATGTTTCTCTTCAACTTTCTATTTTCTTTACTGGACTTAATTTAATTCATAGGTAAGTAAGAGATTGAGATGAGTTGAACTATTGTAGGTAGGCTAGGGCTTAACATTAGTTAACATTAGTACTCACATGGAAACGATGTGAGTTTCAAGTAAAATAAAAACGCTAAAATATGTTAAATGAAATACCTGAAACGTGTCAAATTCCTAAAACGTAGAAATACAAATTTGTAGGTAAGTGAGTTGAGTTAATGATTATAAGTAAAGCTAGGGCCCTGAGAGTAATTTTATTGTAGAGGTGACTGACTACTATTTTTGCGACTTCTTACTAGTTTTGTGTGATGTGTTTGTTTTCACTTCACAACACCACACCAACGAAACAAACTACATTTCATTCTCGTCGCCGCCTTACCTTTTTGACAATCTTTTTAATAATGCCTATTTATTTATTTATTAAATGTTGACTGGTTTCTAGTTTTTTTAAAATTTGGTTATATAATTTTTGGATAATTCTTGATTTACTTTGTATATAGACATGTATAAATAATTTCTATTTAGTATGTTGATTTAGTCATTATGATATGCTGTGAACTGTTCTTACTAAATGTTATTGTTACGCGAATCATTCTCCGAGAACTTCTGCGGAGTGTGTATAATAATAATAATAATAATAATAATAATAATAATAATAATAATAATAGATAATTATTTTTTATCGGTCGATATATTGTTATATTTGTTTGTCAAAATGCGAATTTTTAAAAAATTGACGTTTTTAAAATTTTAATTATAACCGTCACTTTTTATTTTTAAATAAATTCAAATAAATGCAACCAAGTGTTTGCTCGAGTTTGAACAAGCCTTGAAAATATTTTTTTTATTTATTTTTTTTGCGGTTATTTGGCTCATTCAATTTGGTTCATTGATTGGTCAATAGGTTAGTTTGATGGTTGGTTGATTGGTTGATTGATTGGTTAGTTGATTGATTGATTGATTGATTGATCGATCGATCGATCGATTGATTGATTGATTGATTGATTGATTGATTGATTGATTGATTGATTGATTGATTGATTGATTGATTGATTGATTGATTGATTGATTGATTGATTGATTGATTGATTGATCTCATAGTATTGTATACATGAAAAAAAAATTCGATTAAGCCAACCTACGGCTTCAGTAAAGGCACTGTTTTTCACCAGACAAAAGCAATTTCTATATTTATATTGACAAAAATAATTGTGATATGAATATATTGATTTATTTAAAGCATTATATGCACGAAAAACCGCTATCATTAGAGTTCTATGAAACCCTCTAAGCCACTGCAGTAAGCCAACGTAATAATTCAGCAACCAGTTTCTATGAGCACCTGCAGAACGTAAAATATTCATTGAATATAATGAAAATAGTTATTCAAATAACAATTTTAATTTATTTAGACCATTTATTTCATAAGCAAACAAATTTTTAACATGATCGAATAGTGTAAAAAAAAGAGTGACTATAGTTCAATCCTAGTAAGCCAACCATCGGCTTCAGTAAGCCACCGGATTTCACCGGACCAAAAGCAATTTTTAAATTCAGATTAGCAAAAATAATTTAATAATACATAATCCTATTAAATAAAATTAAATAGAATTACTACAATGTTTTAAGCATATTAAGTGAAGTAAATATTTCATATAGCTTGCTCGCTAAACTCCATGCAATTTCGTAAGCCAAAAATACTAGCATGACAATAAACCCGACCGATTGATCGTAACTTTTGACTCGAACGATGAAAAATCACCCTCCAAATCTCCTCCGAAAGTAAGCTCCTTGTTCGACCGTTAAAAGTGAGCGGAGGCCGGTATATTTATTCTACTTATGTGGTCTGACCCTATTCTGTGTTCGTTGGAAGCTTCATTTTCGTTTTTGTGCAAAATGTTTTTTTTGGAAGATTGGATTTAGAGTTGGGTGATCGAAAATTTGTTTAGTATCGGCTTTTGCTCGTTTTTTGAGATCTTATTTCAATGTAAATTTTATTTTTAACAGTTATTTAAAGAATGCAAGCAGATAAAAACGGCAAAAAAAAGAAGGGCAAAGGAATAACATGGGCTGAAGCAGCCAAAATTGTAAATTAATAAAATTTTTTATTAAATTTAAAATTTTCTTGGTTTAAATTTTTTAAATAATCTGATAGATTTTGGCTCTAAATATTGTCATTACAATATTTAAATGATACTTAATTTAAACTTTAAAGCCCCCTACCATATAATAAGTTTTTGATCTTTTATTCTTCTAAATCTAAGACCTAAGTGCTAGTCTAGTCTGGAGCAATATTAGTTAATAATTTGCAATCATTGATTAATAATTAATAAATTAATGTTTTTTTTTTAATATTATTTAACATTCTCCAGGTGATGGAAAAATTTCCTGGAGTCCCTTTAACATCAAAAGAAATATGGTATTACATAGAAAAAGAAAATTTAAAAGACCTCAGGTTTAATCTTAATGTCTTTTATTGTGTTCAGCAATCATTTTTAGTTTAAAAGTTATATCACATGAATTTTCTTGAAATTATTTAGTAGTCAAGATCAGCATTGAATAGATAATTTTTTAAAAAGTTTTTATTATGATTTCAAACAACTGCACAGACGGAATCACAGATTCTTTCTCGGATGGCACTGCCACTAACTCTTTATTTTTATATGTTCCTATTACAGTTATTATTAAAAAATTTATTTATATAGCACTTTTTGAACTTCCCAAAACACTCATGTTTTAATGAGAAATAATTGAAATAATTAACAGAAAAAGAAATGGACAAACTAACAATGATTTAAAAAAATGGATAAGTTTTTAAATTATTTTTAGAAGTTTTGGGATTTTTTCCAGGCTTTCTTAAATAAAGTGACAAACTCCTCTACATATTTGGTCTAGATACTGCAGTAATATTATGTAAAGTTATGCAAATAATAGGCTCTGAACAAATTTTGTAATATTAAACCTGTTAAGTTATGCAAACATTTTTGGTAGCATATATATTTTAAGTATACTATTTTTTCTAATAAATTTTTCATTGAGACAAAGTGAGCAATAAAGCTGGTAGGTACACTTTAAATACAATACATCCATAAAATTAATTAAGTATCATTATATTAGTGAAATCAAAGTGCACTTTCACTTTCCAAGTTTCTAAAGCTGTTGGTGTTAGCATTTTATGCATGTTAGCATTTTGATGTTAGTTTTATAAGCATGAAATTGTTCAATGTTTATTTTTGCATTGTACTCAGTGAAAAACTTCCTATTACCAATTTCAGTTGTTCTTCAACTCCTCAAGCATCACTGAATTCTATGTTGCATGCCAATTCAAAGGGAACTGATGCATTATTCTATAAAGTGATTGGCAGATCAGGACTCTATGGACTTGCGGTGTGTATTTTGCTTAATTTCAACATTTTTTGGCAAAAAAGCAAACTCTGGCAACAGCAATATCAACTGGTCACAGACTGCAACTGCTCTCATTTCTTGATTATGATACCTTTAAAATGCAGAGCAATTTATTATGAATACTTACTAATATTTCTATTTGTAATGATCTTTGCATGGTTCTATTTATACATATATGTGTCTTTGAATTTTAAAATTTTCTCTTTTGTGTCTTTTGTGTTGGAATCCTGCATATCCATATCTAGGAATGATCATGCTTAAGTGTACGTATCTGCCATTTACTGCATCTTGTGCTAACCAGGGCGTGTGTGTATTGATTTTGTCATTTACATGTATTTTCAATTCACATATCTCTACTCTCTAATGTTTGATTCATTATAATTGATTTTTTTATTTTCCTAATTTATCAACTTTTTAATTTTTTAATATCTGCCTTACTATTGCTACGCATTGGATATCTGAATAATAATTTATTGTAATGTTTTGTTACCAGAATGACATTCCAGAAGGTGCAACAATTGTGGAGATGGAAGATGAAGTGGAGGACTCATGTGATGATCCAAAAACATCAGCAACTCCATTGACTACAAGTGCTGATGATTGCAACAATGATTATGCCAACTTCTTATTAAACAATAACAATGCTCCTGAAAAGAAAAAAGAAAAGAGTTGGTTTTATTTTTACTTGTTAAAACAAATGTGCCTCATTTAAAAAATAGTGCTAATGTAAAAATGAAGTTTTCACTTTTTTATTATATTTTTAAGTATTTGTAAAATGTTTTCCTCAGTAGCCGGTTTTTATTACACCTTTGTTTCAATTTAAAATTTTTATTCTTAGTCAAGTTTTTCCCAAATTTGTGTAAAAATTTGTGGAATGCATTTTATCTCTGGTTTTTTTTTTCTCCTGGAGACTTACATAATTTTGTCATAAGTTATTTATCAATGAATGTTTTCAGGCATTTTCCATTGTGAGCATCTATAGTTTAACGTTTTTTCTGGTCGTTTTTCGTAATTTACATTTCTTCATGTTGGATTTTTTTTTCATAAAATGGCTACTGTCTAATATCAAATTTGTTTTTGAATAAAACTAACTAACGTCCAAGCACGCATTTCAACTAATTTACATTTTCTTTTAAACAGTAACGCTTGTTCAGCTCCCTTCAAATTTTGTGTTTCCAGTAATTTTAATGGAACCTCCAACAGCTGAAAATTCATTAGATATAACTGATAGTGAAACTTCAAACAACTCATCAAACACTAAAAGTAGTCCAACTCTTGATGATGCAGTTGCTGGTTCAACGATAATTGTCGTTGTTACATCAAGTGCTTCTGACTGCAACACTTTGGCTTCTACAGTCACTACTGCAGCTACAATTACTAGCGACATCTTCTCAACAGCCTCTGTACCAAGTTCCAGCACGTTAACATCAAATAAGTTGAATGTCAAAGATTATATCATCATTTCAAACTGCAGCAGAAGCACAAATAACGATGATTCAATTTTTGACAACAAAAATAATAAGAAATCTCGCAAGAGCTCGTCAGTATGCATTCAGTCATTAAATCATTACAAGAAACGAAAAAGAAAAAGGTCGATGATGAATAATAATTCTTTAAATGAACAAAATATTAACCAACATCTCAAAAAAGACGCTCAAGAAGTTTTATATAACGGTAATTTTTTTCATTTACAAAATTAATTTACAATTTTATTTCTGGATGGTTGGCTTTTGTTTTCTTTTTGTTATTATCACCTTTCCGCTTTTTTTACTGTTAACCAAAGTGCTCATTAAACTTTTTTAGGGTCAATTCTGGTTTGTTAGTCATTGAATATTTAATGAATATTTATTTCCATTAGGAGACTCCCAGGGCACGACAGACAGCCAGGAAAGCACTGCTTCCATCATCAAAACTACATCAACTACTGCAACAATTACTACTACAACTAATGCAACAACTGCTGTTCCTTCTACTGTTGCAAACAACAGTGCCACTACTGCAACTTCCACATCTAATGAAATATTAACAAATGATAAAAACAAGCCTCAAGATATTAGCCACCAGTCTGACATATCGACCATTAAATCGTACATATCTAACTCTGTGCTTTCTTCTTCTAAGGTTGTTATTAAGCTTTTTTCCATGAACACATTAACTCAGTAATATATTTATTGAAATATGCTTTGTTGTATTATTGAAGCATTCATAGACTGTGGGGCGTATTGTAAAGGCGTTAGAAATTTTTATAGTTTTGAAAAGTCTCTTCTTTTACATGGTTTGAGTAGTGTTAATTTAGGAAATGATGAATTAAGTTATTTTTCATTATTATTGTTAGCAGTATACTAAAAATTGATTGAAGTCATAAATGGATTTCATAATAATTGAACCATTGTTGCATTCTGATAATTTTGTCCAAATTAAATTTTTTGAAATTGCGAATGTAAGTGGCCCAGAAATATGAAGAATTCATCCAAAACAAGGCTTCTATAACGCACAATCTTTGTAATAATTACATCTCTATGGGGACTTAAACTATTCAATGGTTTCATTTGTTGGTCCAGTTTTTTACACATTAATTTTTTAGTTGTTTTAATTGAGCTGTTTATTAATTTTCTAAATTTATATTAAGGAGTTTCTTCGAATTGTCCACTGCAGTAAAAAAGTTGATAACATAGGAATTGAACTTAGAGCACCTCTAAGCTAACTAGCTAGATCCTTAAATATTTAACTCATGAACTCAAGTATATAATGTTAACTCGATGATTTTTTTATACATAAGCTAAGATTTAGAATGCTGAAGGGGTAAAGAAATGAATGCAGGTCTTACAATTATTTTGAAACATCTCTCAGATGAGGAAACGATCGCAAAAGCTGAGCATGGCAGCACAGATTCAGAAGTCGCGTCTCGGTTGTGTTGACCTCAGGACTCCAAATTCATTCCTCGTCAACATCAATTTGAAGGTTTCAGATGTTGTTGTTTGTTCTCTTCTTCTTATACTTCAACTGAATGTTTGGAATATGTTTTAATAGGCATAGAATATAAATTTAAACACGAATATGCTGCTAAGAATTTTCATTTACTTTCAGTTTTTCAAATAATCTCTTCAATACATTGTGCAATTATTTTCATTGTTTTTCCAAAATTTTGATAGTATGAATTTAAAAGTTGTATTTCCGTTTGCAGAGTTTGTTGAATAAGCACACTTTTTCAATGCTGCCGGGACATTATCAGGAAGAGTTGAGCAAATTGTTGCCATCCTGTGATCAAACTGTCATCGATGGAGCTTACAGGTGAATAATCTTTTATTTATAAACAACCTCAATCAAATCTCCATGCATAAATTGGTGATTTGCAAAAGTTGACACTTGTCATAGTATGATATATAATATTATCATTAAAAAGTCATCCGTTATAATTACTTTGATCGAGTCCATTAAAAATCTTCCAAGCACTAACTAGAGCAGATTTAGTTTCTGTGTAAAATTTTATTATAAAAAATTTATTGTACATTTTAGGCTAGCAAACAATACGGCTCTCAGTAATGAATTCTTCACGAAGGCCTGCATGGAATGGAGGGAGAGACTTCAAGATGGTTTGCTTGTTTATATTTATCAATATTTGCACGTTTACTGCTGATGCGGTATTTATCAGTGTAACTTCTACGAAGTCCTTTTATAGAATCAGTCAAACAAAACTTAACCATATGGCTTATACAATGTTGATGGCTCGTTTATTATTACAATGATAATTTTTTATATGTGCTGTATCAATTTTTTTCATAACATAACTAACTGATGGAGCGTTCGTTTTTCGTAATCTAAAACTTTCTTCACTTTTTAAAAAGATCACACGTCTATATCCTTTTAAAAAAATTCTGTACTTACATCTATTTTTTGGTATTCCATTTATTTGCATGTCTGATTGTTCAATTACTGGATGAATCAGGTGAGTTCACGACGGAGAATCAAAGTAAGCGCAAGCATGATGATAAGGACTCAAACAAGCTGGACCCCTGGAAGGTTTATTTCATTTGAATACACACCTGATTAGTTCTGTGATGTTTAACTGTGTTATGTAATGTGCATATGAGGATGGCTTCACACTATATATACTACAACTTTTTTTCAGGAGAAACATTTTGAAGCAAGCTGGGGCGAAAAGTAATTTTTTTCTGTTGTTGATGAATTTTAAATTTTAAAAATGTTTCTTGATCAATATACTTAGATATGATTTTGGAATTGCTCTTTGGTCTGAAGGTGGATGAAGACCAATAAATTTTTTGCTGGAGTGTGTTATTAATTTATTGAGTAGTTTAGCAGTTTAGCGATTAGGTAGTAGGTGGCTGTTGGTTTTTGGTTGATTATAGGCCTTAATGGATTGTTATTTTTATGAGTTTTTAGTTTTGACCATGTAACACCGATCTTCATTGACCATTTGCTCTGCATTAAGTCACATCATGTGACCTGCTTTAGAAACATCTATCAACAAGCCATTTTTGTCAATAAAATGTTTGTTGATGAATCAAGATTTTTAAATTAACGCACATTCTGACTTATTATTTTTTTTAGGTTGTCTGATGTTCTTGACCCCAGTTCATTGAATGTTCCACCGAGCAAACGATCTCCATCCATCACCTCCTCCTCTTTCCCATCTTCGTTTTCCATGATACTGTCAACTACCAATGAATGTACAAACAATGTTTCATCAGCCACTTCTGGAGTGTCTGCTTCTAGACACACAGATCGACCAATATCTCTAAACTTGCGGTCATCAACGAGGTTAAAATCGAATGAAATGAAAAGGAATAAAAATGATGGAATAAACGCATCCGTAGAGAAATTTCTCAGCACGACATCAGTGAAGCTTGCATCATCTATGACGCCACCCACTACGTCAAACAATTTCTCTTCAATATCATCCTCGTCATCTCCACCATTAACTGCAACTGCATTGTCCACAGTAGTGACACCTATCCTAACTGCAAGTACGCCAACAACTACGTCTTTCTTTACGGCGGAATTGAATTCTTCCAAGGTCGGCGACTCTTCCATGCCTACCAGTAGTTGTGAAGTTACAAATAACGCAGATTCATCCAAGTTATCAACGTCTTCTTCCAATGATTGTATGGATTTTAGTGAAGCATCATTCGATTCATCTTTCATGACTGATCTAACTTCAGTTTTAAAGTCACCGACTAAAACTTCATCATCATCCTTCTCATTTTCATCATCATCGTCGTCATCGTTAGTTGCAGTATTTTCATCGCTAGCAGTAGTCACCCAGTCCGTAACATCTTCATCAACAAATCTGCTATCACTCTACTCCTGTCCAGTTTGCTCAAGCTTAATACCAACTTCATCAGCTTCATTAACTACAACAGCCGCCACATTATCACCAATTATGTCAGTTAATGATCAGTTCAGTTGCTCTATCAAAAAAGAAAGTCAAAATGCTGAAGAGATGTACCAGAATAACAAAAGAGCTTTCAGTGAATTGCAGCATTCAGATGCTTCTCAAGATGCAAAACGGTTGAAATCCTTTTCCTCACCAACCAGAATGGAGTTGTTGCAACCTGCAAAAACACTAGAATCAAAATACAATGCAACATCTCCTACTCCAGCTAATGATTTATCAAAAAATTTAAATTCATCTTTTTCCAGTTCTTCAGCTTCTTCTTTATCATCACCACAATCAAAATCGCCTCCTTATATGCTGACAGCAACTTCTGCAACCTCTCCTCTTCAACTTGCTCGCAAGCTATTTGGCAGTCAGAACAAACAGGTTAATAATTTGTCGCTGTTGCATATTTAGGTAACGATGTGTAATGTAGTTAATATTCAATCTATTGCTCAATATCTAAATGAAGCCACTGTCACAAAAACAAACCAGTTTATACACATAAATAAATATTTTAATAAATAAGCAATAATTCCTATAGTTACATTTTAATTCGTTATATTTCCAGATTTCAGCTCCTTACATGAGTCCCAAGCCTCAAAACCAAACACGAACCTTAGCTCAAATCAAAGCACAAAATCAAGCCAAACGATCAGCAAAGAATTTAATGCATCATTTTAAAGATTCATCATTTCTTAACAATAACAACAGCATCAACAATCTTTCCAACAGTGACAGTATGGCGACTTTGGATGGTTCTCCCACACAGGTCGCTCAACTGAAAACTGAATATATTTCATCTAGTGAAACAGTTGAATTAGCTGTAAAAAGTGTTAATAATGATGGTGAATCTCTTTTGAAAACTAAAATGGCCTCAACTGATAATACGTCGATAACTTCATTTGCTTCAGAAGAGAAGATTCAAAGCAGTTTTAGGTTGAACGACGAATCTAAATCAAATTCAGAATGCAAGAGTAGTTCTTTGATGTTTTCAAGTTATGATATGCAATCAAACGAGCAACGTATAACAAATTCATCGTCCATACCTTCACAAGCTGGTTCAATATCTGCAGTAATCAAAACGGAAAGAATTGTACAACCATCATCTACAGCTGACGAAAGTTTTTTAACTTCATCTTTGCTTAAAGAGTCATATCATGATTTCAGATCATTATCTGCATGCACTCCAACGACAGTTACTTCATCGTGTGAAATGTCTAAGTTATTAGTGCCATCAAAATTATCGCTGACAAACTCATCTACGGAGTTAAATAAACAGATCTTTGATGCCAAAAACGAAACGATTTTGCAGTCACAATTTCATATACCATCTACTGCATCATCAGCAACTAAGTCTCAAGCATCTCTTTTAGCAGCCCCGTTAACGTCAAAATCACCAAATTCACTGCAGCTTGCCGAATCTTTAACACAAAATTCAACATCTTCTTTTGCTTCTTCATCATCATTTATTGCTTACGAATCAACACCAGCAACACCATCAGCAGGATCACTGACTTCACAACCTCCGGTTCTGCCCAAGCACAAGTTGAAAATTGTTAGAGTGGCCTCATCTGGTGGTCAAATAACTTACAAAGTTGAGAACTGCATAGTCCCTGTTTCTCTTCCTGAAACTTCGACGAGCAACAAAGATTCTAAGAATATTACTTCTTCTGATTCGCTTCTCTCGTCAAGTAATCCAACAAAATCTGACAGCGGTTCAGTTGACCAAGGACTCGTATTTGTTTCATCATCCTTTCCTTACTCGCAACCTTTTTCATCACAATCATCAAAAAAATCACCCCTAGCCAGCACTTTTCCAACAAAATCTTCAGTATTTGTATCGTCATCGAAATATCAATTTAAAAACTCTCATCCGAAAGCAGCAACTCCTTTGTCATATTTTCAAAATCAACCTATTTTTAATGAAGCAAAATTGATGAATAACACCAAATATCAGCGCAATGCTAGTAACAACCAATCAAAAATAACATGGAAGTCAACTTATGGCGAATTATTACTAAGAAACAATCTTGAAAATTCAGTGGATTGCACATGCAACTTGAAGGCGTTCGTCATCTGCAGCAAATGCGGAGCCTTTTGTCACAATGAATGCATTGGACCTTCTAAAATGTGTATTACCTGTCTTATAACCACCTAATGTATAGTTTGCTTTACATAATTCAGTACTTGTTTTAGTCGATAGTTAATATTGTCGATAATATTATTATCTCAAAAACTCTTATACGCCTTTTAATTTTTAACATGACATGATCCAGCTTTATTTTTTGTTATATTTGAGATAAAATGTAGTAACGCGTTAATGATTTATTTAAGCTAGCATGTTATAGAAAGGGTCAGTTTTATTAATTTATTTTACAGCTGAATTCATTTATTAACGGTCATTGGTTTGGCAAATAAGCTTTTTTTGATCTATTGTTTAATTATTAATTTTATTTTCAACTAAAATTGTAATTTATAGATTCATTGTAAGTTTTTTGTTTTGTTGCCAATATCACAAGTTAATATTATGTTATATATTTAACTATATTTAAATAAAATATCAAAAACAATGCTTTTCAGTTACAAATTTGTCAGCCATGCTCAATCGATCTCAGAGCAAATCATGTATGGTAGATTTTCATAGAGCTTCGAGCGAATGCTTGCAGCTTTAGTAGTTCTGTATATATGTATTTTGGATAACTGGTAAACTATTGGATAATGCGTTGAAATAACTTTGAAAATAACCAGTTTTCACATTTATCCGTTCGGCTCTCTAAAGGTGTACAAAATTACCCTGCAGCTAGCTGTGTAGACAGATCAGGACTCAGTTACACTCGTTCTAAACCACAATAACCTGCTACTGAAATGTTTGACAAACTGAACGTCAATTTTTTAATAAAAATGGAATGAATACATTTTTAAAATGTTAACGCATTTGCAGCGAACAAATGTAAAATAGTTTTTTGCGAAACACACACACACTATTTACTTGTTCCGTATTTAATTTAAACAAATTCACGTGGGAAATTTTCAATTTTTCATAATTTTCGTCTTACCTGCATTTATCAATTATTTTAGTCATCAACTGAAATTCATTGTGAGCAAAATATAGTTTTTCATTTCCAAACAGTACCTTCCTTAAAATTATGTGCTGTTAGAACTTCAGTTGGTTCACAATTTTTCGATTAGGAGCTTATTAAATTTAAACAGAAATTGTACTTTGCACTAAAATGCCACATGCCACCGTTGCATATCTACATGTTTGATTTAAACTTAACACTTTAGAGAGTATGAGATGCCGTATTAGATATAAACATTTCACAATTTTCAGGCATTTTCAATGTTTAAAAAGCATTTCAAATTTGAAAAATACTTTTGTTCGAGAATAAATTCACCTAATCTAGGCTATTTCGCAACGAAACAATGCCGATTGTGTGCCGTTAAATGAATCTCTTAGTTCGAAATAGTGACTATTGTGAAAGAATCATGACAGCTTTTCACTTCCCATCAACATCAAAATCTTTTTAATTCACAGCCAGCAAACGTCATTTAGTTGATTTAATTTAAAAGTTTATCTGATTCACATGCCAAAATTTTTTGGTGCTCCTGTGATCGATCGCTGGCAAGTGTAATTTACGTTATATTATATTAACTATTATTTATATTTCCACTTTGTTGAGTAATAAGCAGATGGGGTGTGATATTTTATTTCCGTGCTATTTAATTAGATGTTGCATGTGAACAAGGCAAAGCGTTTACAAATATTCCGGCATAACATATGTATGCATCATTACATCTTCTAAACAGACTAGACTTGTAAATGAAAAAACACATGTTACTGAACGCAAAAACATGCAAATTTTTTACTGACTTATATTTAATAGCTAAAAAATTTGGACGGTTTATTTACAGAGCAGACATTTCTAGATGGGAAATAAAAATACCTTTTAATACAGTGAAAGTTACACTTTAATTCCATTAGCATCTCACGTAGCATTAACTGTCCAATACATTCCAAATGCTTTTGTTTATCTCGATGTAAGTACGTCTCCATGCATTCAAAATCCGCGCATTGTGCTTTCCTAGCCCCGTCGTCATCTTCCTCATCAAACCTTTTGTCGTCACTTCACGCGCTAAGAAGTTAAAAACAGTAACACGTGCCTAACCCCCTCCAATAAACTAAATGAATGAACGGTTAGGAAGGAGAACTTGCAAAAAATGTACCTTGAGAGCAGTGATGACGAGTACTTAAGTACATTTGTACTTAAGTACATACTTAAGTACAAACGTAGTACTTAGATACTTATACTTAAGTACATATGAAAACCTGTACTTAAATACTTATACTTAAGTACATTTTTCAGTACTTGTACTTATAAGTAATAAATTTTTCCTGTAAGTACCAGAAAAATTTTAAGCAAAAATAAGATAATGTCAACATTTAAAAATTGAAAACTGTGATGAAAACACACACACACATTTTCACATTGACATTCTTGTTTATCTCTCTTATCAACATTTGTTCTTGTTTAGTCATGGATAGCGGGATGTTAAGATAACCATTGGCTAATTGAGTCATTAAAAGGTGGTTAACTCACATCACTCTGACATCTATATATCTATATCATAGACTCTACATGATCTATATACACATGCACAAGTAAATGTTGTGATGGAACGTTTGCAGCTGCCGAAGTTCAGCAATATAGATTTGAGTTTTCTTAATGAGTGGTTGGAACTGATGAGACCAATTTCACTAGCATTGGACAAGCTCCAAGGTGAGGTTTCAATGGAGTCTTATTTTGGTGCTGTCTTACCAACTATATTTGTTATACAGCGAAAACTGCAATCTTTTACTCCATCGTACACTTCAGCTCTTGTTTCTGCTCTTCAATGTGGCATGGAAAAACGCTTTGGCGATATAATTGACTTTAAAGATATTTCAAGCAACAGCAAGATGAGAGCATTTGTTGTGGCTTCGATCAGCCATCCGTTTTTTAAAATCAGGTGGATAGAATCATCAGTTCGTGAGCAAGTTGAAGACTTGTTTCTAGCAGAAGTGGTCAGAATGAGCAATTCTTCAACAGTTTATGAAGACAGAAATACTAGAGGTTGTACTAGTGCAGATTTTTATGGATTCCACGAACCAAGTTCCGAATCACGATCGAATGAAAAAGTTGAAGGACTGCAATATCTTAGTGATCCTTCATATGATATGGAACAACTCAAAAGGTAATCAATATTTTTCTGTAATATATTATATATGTATAATATGTATATGCTTGATTTTCTAATACATTTTTATTCTCAAGTATTAATAACAAATTAATAATTTGCTATTTCGGTTAACAACTATATTATTGTTCCTTAGGTATCCTGCTGTCGCACAAGTGTTTTTGAAGTACAATACCACTGTGCCATCATCAGCACCTGTGGAACGTATATTTAGCCAGGCTGGAATGATTCTCACTCCTAAAAGAAATCGTTTAAGTGATGAATCATTTGAAACTTTACTTTTACTCAAAAAGAACAAACTCTTTTATTGATGTAAATAAATTACTGTAAATAACGAGTTGATTTCTGAGTTTAATAAATTTATAAATATTTCAAATTAACCATGGTATGTACTTAGGTACTTATGTACTTAGTACTTATACTTAGTACTTATAAGTATCAAGTATACAATTTGTTTTGGTACTTAGCACTTATACTTAAGTACTTTTATTACTGAGTACTTAGTACTTATACTTAAGTACATTTTTTGAGTACTTACGTCATCACTGCTTGAGAGGATGAACTGAAATTTTCGAAAGCATTCGTGATTAATGACATTTAAGCCACTATCTATTGACTGCTTGGTTGTTTTGTCACATCACATGCAATGTAAGTTAGCTATGTCTTATACCGTGCTCCAGCTTATTTTTGATTTAAAAAAGCTGAAAGTTGACAAAATTATATTTAACACTCGCAACAAGAAAGATACTAAAATAGTAAATGCAACGTTATGGCATAGAAAATTTAATAATATAGTAATGAACGGCGACGTATTTATTAGCGATTTAATTGAGACTTTTCAATTCAACTTTAATCGATAATAACAAACTAATGAAAATAATCAAAGTGAAATTGATCATAGATATGAAAACTGAATCTCCACTCTACCAATGTGGATGTAATGATGGCCTATGTTTGTTTTCTATGATGAGTATTCAATTTTTTGTCATAATTGTTATTTTTATACTGAGACACATTTGTATATCATAAACGTAACTGTTGTTATTTAAAAGTATTATTTTTTTTAAATATTATAAATCAACAATGTCAAAGTTTATCAAGTCAACAAACTTAATAATGAGCTGAAAGTCGTTGTAAGAAAAAAAACTAGACTGTAAATTTCTCATCTCACTCAATCCTATGTTTATAATAAAATAATATAAGCTGCAACCTTTATTGACTCATCGATCAACATTGTGGCGGTGTTCAGTAAAACGAAAGATAACTTTCATGCGTTGACGGTTTGTCTGTTAACAAAATGATAGAACAATATTCTTAGTAAATCAACAAAAAAAATGTTTACAAGTTAATGGGAGTAGACCTAGATGCCGACCCAATTATGTAAATAACTTTAGGTGGAGTAATTAGTGAAGGCGTGTGTAAATCTCGCTCCGAACACTCAAGTTTAATGTAACTGAGAAATATAATATATAAATTTACAAAAATGAACCTCTACATTACGAGCACGATTTCAGACATAATCAAGTTTAAATATATTTCTAAAAAATGTTATGAACACTAGAATTAAATAAACTAGGTTAAAATACAACAAGTTTTTTAACTTATTTAAATTATTTTTCAAGCATCATTTTTTATTGCATTCAAGATTTCCAGATGGTTCGAAGAAAGAAATTACTTCCTTCAAAGCGGATTCTTCTATAAAAGGCATTGAGCATATCGCTTCTGTGTATTTCTCAGTCTACATAACTGGCAGGCAGGAAGAAATTAAGTGAATAGTGGGGAAAATTTTTTAAAGACACCGAAAACTTTAATAAAGGTTTGGAAATATTATGTTTCATTAATTGTTTTATATGTATTAACAACGTGATATGATCCATGTGCATTTAAAAAGAATAATTTAAAAAAAATTATTCAAAAGAATTTTAATGTCATTTGGTCATCAAATATAATTAACAATTTAAATATTTAATTTATGTTTAAATGATGTAAAAAGCTTGACTGATGTAAAAAGTAGTAAGATTTTGACGAAAGTTATTTTGTGATGAATCATAAATGCGCTAATATAACATCAAATGTTGTCAATGAGATTTACAACAATTAGCAGTAAACATGCACGTGTTTTTTTTTATATCTTGGTTTCATCTAGTTAGTTGATTGTCAGTACACGAATTCCGAAAATTTGATGTAAAGTAGAGTTTAAAAAAACACCTACAAAAACAAACAAATATATTTATATGTGAATATAACATGAAACGAGTTGTGACTGTTGTATATGTTATGTGATGTAATATTTATATTTATAAGCAGTAAAATTTAGGACACATTCTGATCATCCTTGAACAAACATTAATGCAGATGAAGCAAGTGTCTGCCCTGGCCCTCGTCTTGTCATCGATCATCTTAATTCAACAAGTTCTACCGATTCCGCCTGATTTCTTTCGAATCGAGTCAGTTTTATTCAGCACAAATATTTTCTACGCTTCTAATAAATTTGCTCAATGATATATTTTTCATTTCATTTCAAATGAAAATTTAATTTCAATTCTAGAAAGCTGTGATTGCTTTTTTTTAAATTTAACGATTAAAGTTTTATTTGAAAATTGCAGGCGCAGAATGAACCGAAACGTTGAAAACAATCAGTTCTTAAATAATTATCGTTCGAGAGGTGATTTCGAAGATGTCTCAAGTTTAATCTGCAGCTACTGTTCGTCAATCAATTACATTTCGGAAGCCACTTGCAAAAAAAATTTGGCGAACGAAAAAAAATCCTGTGCCATAGCGTTGCTGGCAGAATTGAACAGGGACGGAGATGTAAAGAACGTTTATTAATTTCATTAAACTTACATTAAATGTTTTAAAAATAATTAAGTAATATTCGTTTACATTGTTACACGCTTAAAAGATTTTACATATGAAATGACTAATTTGCACATGAAATTTTGTGTTTTTTTTCTGATTTTATCTGACCGTTTCTAGTACTGAGATCCAGCGCAAAATTTATTAATTTGTTCGTCAATTTAAGCTAAAGTTGAACTTTCACGCCAATGTTTACTAAAAATGATTTAATTTCAAAACCTTTAAACTTTCTTTGCGTGAGAACTGAATGGTTTTCTAATTGCAATTAAATGAATGATTATTCAGAATAGTGAAATATTTATTAAATAAAACAATTTTTGTCGTTATACACAGTGACGTAACTTTAACATTATCCAACGTTTGTTTTTGATCGGTTGTTTCAGTTGTGAAATCATACTTTAACATTAGCCATCAAACCTCTACGTGTGATTCACTCATAAGCCGATCAAAAAACCAATGCATAGTGTGGCGACTGAAGAGTATATATGCAGCGGTAAATAGAATAAAGCGCGATGAATGAATATTATGTTACGTCACTCAAGATTGCACCATGCAAATTGCAAACATTCATTTGCATGCATCGTGCTGCTGTTGAACTGTTCGTTGCTTGCAGACAGCAAAAAGTATTTGGGCTGTAAATTTTTTAAGCATAACTTTCATTAACTGAAATCATCGTGTTTCGATGTTTTATGGCTAGAATTTATAAAAAATTATTTGTTTTACAAAAAATTGATCAAATTATATTTTTCGATTTCGGTTCACTTATCACGAGCCTGATTAAACAAACAAAAAGTGAGAATATATATAATAGTTAACAAAATAAATTTTAAAAATATTTTTATTTAATGTTTCAGCATAAAATGTCGGATATCAAAACTGTCAAAAATTTATCAACGGAAGAAAGCGATTGGGAAATAAATTCTAGTAGTGAAAGTTCTAACGATGAAGATGAAGATAACGAGGTACCCCAGCAAACTGTATTTTTGAAGAAAACTTTCACAACTGAAACAGCTAATCAAAAACAAACGTTGGATAATACTACAAATAAAACGATTGATAAATCAGATGTTACTAGCAAAAAACTAGATAGCGTAAAAGACATTTCAAATCAAACGTTGATAACCGAAAATAATCCTAGCGATAAAAAAGATGAAACGAACCACGTGTTAAAATACGAAATGGACGAAAAAACAAAGTCAAACCGCGAAGTTCAAGTCACCACAACTATCAAAAAAATCAAAAAAGCGCCAAAAAGATCTGACTCGGGCAATAACTCTTCAACAAGCGTAGACAAGGATTCTGAAGATCACGGTGTACAAGGAGAGTCTAATGCAAAACCAAAAAAGAAATCGAAACTTATCAAATCAAAGGATAAACCTGAAGAAAAGGTTGAAAAGGTAAAAGAAAAGAAAACTGTCAAAAAAGTAAAACAAATAAAAAATGTACTTGAAAATGATGAAAGTGCATCATCCGATAATGTAAAAGTTGTTGAAGGAAAAGACAATAAAACAAAAATAACTAAGAAAAAGTCTGCCAAAATTGACGAGCAAACGGATAAAGTAAACAAGCCTAAAAAATCTTCAAAAAAGAGTGAAAACGCCGAATTTAGCGGAGAGAAAAAAGTGAAAGTCAAAGGGAAAAAAAGCGAGAGCACAAAAACGATTCCTAGTGAACCAAAAAACAAGGACGAAAATATAAAAGTTAAAACGATAAAGCCTAAAATGAATAATGAGAAAAGTTTGAAATCATTAAATTCAGAATCAAATGATAAAAGCGAAATAGAAACTTTGAATAAAACCGCATTAGAAGATACGAAAAATGACGCAATAAAAGTTGTTAATGGGGTTAGTGAAAACATAGAAAAATGTTCAAATTTGACATCGAGCCCAGATCTTGAGACGTTTAGTCAAAATAATAAATATTCTAGTTCTGATGAAGCAAACAGTGAAGCAAAAATTGTCATCCCTTTGAAAACATTGTGTCAAGAAAATGGCGAGTCATCGAAAATAATGGAAGGCGATTGCCATCTGGTAATCAGTGATGTCTACTCCAAAAAGGAAACAAAAGAAAATGATGTTGATGACAAATTACCAAATGCAAATGACAAAAAAATGTCACTGGAAACCGATTTAGATGAATGGATGAAAGATTTGTTAGCAAGACATAACATTAAAAGAGAAGTTCTATCACCAACAAGACATAACATTAAAAGAGAAGTTCTATCACCAACCTATACACAATCTTTTGGTAACGATGAGTCAATAGGGTCAAATGATACCAAAGTTGAAGAGAGTACAGAGCAAAGTGAGATCAATTCTAATGGCTTTTTAAAAGACAAATCAACAAAATATGATGACAGTTTCAGAAATGAGAATACATTTGATGATACTATGATTAGTCATATAACAAAAACAAATTTAGAAAATCACGATAGAAAACAATTTTCACAAAAGTTGGTTGACAAAGAAATTCAAGGAAGAATGTTCGAAACAAAGACAAGAACGAAAAATGAGCAAGATGAAGAAATAAATGAACACAAACAGAAACGATATGAACATTTCTTGAGCATTGGAGCCGATGAAGAAATTGATGATTTAAAAACCAAAAGACAAAATGATGATCAAAAGAAACGATTGAAGCAAATACTGTCAGACGATATTGATGATATAATTAACAAAATGACTGAAAATTCTTACTGCATCCAAAAGGATAATGAATACGAGGCCAATAATGAAGAAGAAAGTTTTATGACTCGCTTCAGAAGAGAAAAATATTCGAAAGTGTTATCAAAGCGTAATAAGTTAGAGCAACCGAAATGTAGGGAAGGCCTAGATGAAAAAATTAAAGAAAAGTATAAACATGTTAGAGTTTTGGTCGAAAAGCAACAATCAGTGGTTGACAATTTAAAAACATTGTCAAAAAAATTATCGGAGTTGGAATCAATGGTCGAAGAAGCAGAATCAGAAAGCCAGGACCAAAAAGCTGTGTTTGAAAATTTAGAAACATCATTAGACTCAGCATACAGTCAATATGAAAGCGATTTAAGAGAAGCTACTGAACAAACTTCACGCCAGAAAAAATTTCAAAGTGAAAATTTTCAAGATGAGATAAACACCATTTTCAACAACACTTTGCTTTTCACAAAAAACCAATCTTTCAAACTTGACAGCAACAAGGAAATAAAAAAATCTTTTCAATCCAATCAAATAACAAATCTGGTGGCTGATGAAAGAAATTCTCCCTCAACAAAGTCTCCATTCGGCATTATATGGGATTTTAATGGAGATATTAACAAATCAAAGATGAATTACAATGGCGAAAATGAGAAAGTTATGTACAACCCTATCAAGAAGAAATTTCAAAATGACTTTGAAAACATAGTCGATGTGAAAAACAAGTCTTTAAAAAATGAAACCGAAGACAATAGTGAGTTGTCAGCGAACGATTTTATTAACAAGATTAGAAACAAGTACGCAATTCAGCCACTAGCAACTCCTACGAAAAATAATTACAACTACAACACTAGCATTAGAAACAGTCCATACAACAGGTCAAGCATCAGTGATTTCTCGCTGCTTGAAAATAAATATGGCAAATGTAATACCGATAGCAACAGGCAGGGCTTTGAGAGAATTGTCAATAAAAGGCACAGTTTGACCAAAAACTACGATGACGACACCAATTCTATAAGAAGTTACTCGAGCCTGTCCAATAAATATTTAAATGAAAAAAGTTTTTCAACCATTAGACCAACGGAAGTCCAGGCCAAATATGATAAGTACAACGCACCAACATATCAAAGTAAATTTCTAAGATCAATGCTGAACGATTCAGTGAATTAAGGTACCCAAACGATAAATAAGTGAAAATCGATGGATCTATTCAATAGTACTGTAACTCATATTCGTTTTTGTGATTTGTGTACTTTTGTTAAAAAAATTTCTATACGATTTTTATTAAATTTATTAATTACTCAGTAACTGGTAAAACTCGTAGACGAACCATATAGTTTTAGAAACCACTATACGCTTGAAACATTTTAAAATAATTATCAATATATGAAAAAACTTGAGGCTCTTTATTAGAAATCACAAATCAGTTGCTAAATTTTATATAACTCAAGCAAAAATAAATGAGGCAGGCAACAACAAATATACAATTTTTTGCTTACATATTTTTTTCTAAATACAAAAGGATATAGGCCAATAAATTTATAAATTATAGATTAAATTGAAAATGCAGGCACAATTATTTAGAATAATTTAAACGTTTAGCTGAGCAGAATAAAACGATGGTATAAAGGTCCGTACACATCTATGTGATAAAGATGAAAGGAAGATAACATAAGGAAAATTTACATCAAGATAAACTTTATTATAGATGTATACAAAGCTGCTCTTTGAAAACAAAAAAAGACAAAAGGAAAATACTAAGGATTAACTGAAACACGCATATTCGTTTGAGGAATTTGAGTGTGTTGTAGCAACAAAAAAACATGTTTTAATACTTTGGGATGTTTTCCTAGTTTTAATAAGATAAGGAATTTATTTTACAATAAACTTGTTGAAGGTTTGATTTGCATGATTGTATGAAAACTTTGTACTGACTTTGTGAATAACAACTGGTTGGCTTTTAGAAGAGTAACTAAAAAATAATTGAGTTTATAAAGAAAATTAACAGCTTTGCGTTCGCCAGAATTGCTTTTTTGAGTTGAGCTAGAGATAAGATGTATCAATCATAATGTACTCAATAATTGAAATAATGAAACAAACCACTTGTTTAAACAATTTTTTTAAATAAAATCTTTTAAGTTGTTTCCATAAATTTAAATATTTCAAAATAAAATATATCCAAAAATTAACTTTTTTCTTTAGTGAAAAACGACGATATCATCTTCATCCCTTTTTTGTCAACTTTGTTCAATTTCTTCTGAGCCGGTGTTAAGTTTTCTTTCTGAATTGTCGCCATTCAGTAAAAATTAAAGTAGCATAGAAGTAAAACACATCAACATAAAAAAACAGGCTAATGAGAATTACTGACATACTTTTTCAACTGGTTGTGCTATCAGCGAACTGTAATCTTCATGTGTAACTAAATCATCCACTTTTTGTTTCTTATGTAATTAAACAAAGTAATTTTGTATGAACAAAATTAATACCAAAGCAACAAAAAATAATGAAATTTTACTTTTGACGGTGGCTCTACGTCGCAGTCAGTTATTTCATTGCTTTCCAACCTAACAACAAACACACTCAAATAAATTTCTGAAATAAAAGTGAGATCAAATTAGTTTTGTACAATACTTTATATTGAAGAACTCTAGTAATTCTTGGGACAATTCTGGCTCAAGATATTCTGACAGTAGATGACAAGCATAGATTTTATAATCACCTGTGTACGAAGTGTGTGACAATCATTATACAAAATTATAGATAAACTTAATAATGTATTTTATACTCATTAAAGTTAGAAAAGAATTATATGGTTTTAAGCAACTTATTAAGCATTCAATAATCTGATGATGAACAAATTGAAAAGTTTTCAAATGTATGTCTTGTTCTAAAATATCCATTATTGAATAAAAATTAACTAAATTTATTTCATATAATTACAGTACAAAAAATGGAATTTATCGAAAGCATAAATGTTCATTATCTTCAAATTTAAAAAATATTTTTTCAAAATATGTTTCAATTCATCTATTTGAGCAGCAATGTGAAAGATGTAGCAGAGAATTCAACCGCTCCAAGCCATTCTAAAACAACATTGCTTTGTTGAGAATTTTTGAAAAGTTGAATGGTTTTAATGTATCAAATTTAATGATTTTTGCATGAAATTAAATAAATAAAATGATTGATGCCAGTCAACGAAACATCAACGTAAAATTGAAAGGTATTAAATAAATAACTTTAAAATTATTAAAAAATGATTTACTTTCGGATAAATGTGAAGCTGTAGAAAAACTTGAGACATATGATGAGGACAGTGAAGTGTTTATTTGCAAGTCTTTTAAAACTTTCATCAATGAATCAACCTGGAAGAAAAGAGTTAGATAGAGAAATGGAGAGAAAGAAAGAGAGAAAGGGAAAGAGAGAGAGGTGATAAAACAAGTGATAGCAGAAACGACAGTCATTGACAAATAACTCACTTTCAATTGCAACCATGCTAGAGTCTTTTCTTTGTTATATTTATAATACAAATCCTCTCCTAATTCTGAATTATGTAAAAAATTTTTAGTCTGCAGTAAAAATATAAATTAATTTCACACCTTTCGTATCACACACAAATTTTAAAAAGGACATCAGCTTGTCTTGGAAGATTTTATTATCAGGAAAGTTCTCATCATCTAAAATACTTCCTACAGACTTGTACATTCTGAACTTTTGAAAAAAAATATTAATATATTATTTATATTAATTGATTTCAACCATGAAAGATTCTATACCATCACACACAAAAGATACTATAACATTTATATAATTAGAAATCAGAATTTGCGACAAAAAATAGAAAAAAAATGAAAAAAAAAAAAAAACTAACACTTTTTCTCAACAAGGGAAGGAACAAATATAACATATTTATTTCTGTAACCATGAAAAGTCCATCCTCTAAAAATATACATACATATATATACACATATATATTGATTTTAAGATGTAACAAAATTTGATGTGAGAATTGAGGGACTGACCACCACCTTTAACGACAAAGTCTTTAATGAACCACGATCGAAAATTTTCTTGAAACTTTGTGATTTCATATATATGACAGGATGAATTTGAATAAAAAAATGTTGAAGCTATTCCTGAATTTGAAAAATGTTGGCATATGAAATAATTTAAAAAAATTTATACATACAGTAGAGACAATTATTTTTAAATAGATCAACAATAAAATCAACAAATCTTTAGAATACATTGCCAAGTAAACTGGTGGAAGCACAGTAAACAATTTAAAAGCAGACTATGATTACTAGATGAACAGTAATCAATGTGATCGGCTATCATGGTGTGCCTGACAAAATACTCACTAGCTCCTTTACCAGTCTACAGTCTACAATCCTCAATAATAAATGTTAACACTATGAGCTGGCGAAGTGATTTGTGCGGGCTATACAAGAAACTGCAATAAAAATTCTGATTGGTATTAGGACTGCTGATGAGTTTCCATTCAGGACAAAACAGGTGTCCAGCCTATCCAAACAAATACTATTCTTTTCTTCTCCCATTCACTGCTCTTCCTGGTTTGGTGTTCTCTTTAATGAACGCAACTACAACAGTACTTTACTACTTCTACTACTACAAACTAAAAAAGACAATCTTTGTTTAACAAAAATCACAGATTAAATAACATACAGCTGTTATTAAAATTAAATGTTTTCAATAAATTTAGCAATTTTTATTTTATTTTTTTATAGACAACAAAAGAAATATTATAATCATATGCACCATATTAATTATTAAGATTAGAAGTTTAAAGAAAATAATAAATGAAAATAAGTGTCATAATTTCAAAGCTAACCTGTCTTAGGATGCTTTAATTTGCATGTTTCTAAAATGCCATTGTTTTGAGAAATAACATCTTTTAAATTTAAATAATTAATTATATCATATAATAATATGAAATATAAAATCTAATTTATTTTATAAATTGCTGCTAACTAAGCTCAAATTTAGCTTTAGTTAATTTAATAATTTAGCTGCTAAACTACTACTAAACTCTAAACTAAACCTAACTAAAATCTAAATTAAATAAAATGTAAAATCAAAAAATCACAATTTGACTATAAAATTTAAAACCTACCTTCAAGCAAAATAATAGGACCATCTTGATACATTTTTTATTCTTTAAGTTTAAGGCGATGCACTTCAAACAATTATTTATTATTAATTTCAAAGTTGAGAAAATGAAAATGTTATAGCGAATCCAAACAGAAATTAAATTAGTACGCGCTTATTTACTTGACAGATTAGCTTGATGTACAGCATTTGTTATTTAATGTTTTGATCAGCTGCTCAACTTTTCCCCTTTTATCATTCTGCAAAACAAGAGATCCGTTTTGAGTGTTGGATGCGTATGGCTTAACGCTTAACCCTAACCCATTTTTATATCATTGCAATAAAGATTTATCAAATTTTTAAAAATGTTGTTGTGTAAGTCGTATGCATATATATAGAGTACATATATTCTACGATATATATATTCTATATATATATTCTCTCTATATATATATGGATGCAGGTTTAAAAAAACTGCTGAAAACTTAGCAACCAGGAGGAATCTCCGGTTTTACCTCATCATTTTTATTATATTTATGTCAGATTCAGATTTTATTATATTGACATACGTGTCAGATTCCGACAAAACTCAAAATGTTTATTTCTTTTACATGTTTCTTATCTTTCTCGCGCTCTCTACACACATTTAAGAAATATATATTACATCTTTTTTAAGACATAGCGAGGCACACACACGCATACGTATATAATATGCATATACAACAAAGAAATAATTATCTACATGCCACAGAGTTTTACCTCTATGAACGAAGCTTTTATTACTGTTGTTGACCTTGTTGTCCACATTCTCGTTGTGACACTATTTAAGTTCGCACTTGTTGCTCTGTTAGGAACGTGAAGTCCTTGTTTCACTTGTTGAATTTCACCACAGATCGGGTTTTGTGGAGGTCGATGGTTGCCAATGTCCAGAAAGGATAAGTCACAAGAAAGAAAAAGCTGTTAGGAAAATGTTGGTGCGCTGATGTCTCTATAGTGTTATATGTCAAACATAAGCAACTTTTTGAACACATTCATACCGAACATTATTTCCAAAATCTAACCTTCATCGTTTCACATTTGATATCTTTTGTTTCATTCCCTGTTTATTCAAGTCACTAGTCAGATTAGGCAGCACAGATTATTAAAGCAGTCCTGACGATTGCAATATATTTACAGCTCACAATCTAAAACTGATTAAAAGGTTTGTCATGCTGGTCCGTTTCCTACTTATTTGTATCCCAATTGATTCCGAATCACTTATTAAGAATCAAAGTTTCGTGATGACAGTAATATAAATATATTTATATAATATATATTATATTTATAGTATATATAATGATAGTAACACAAACACAGCATATAAATCAGTGATTTTTAAAACATAGAACTCATCAATTAATATGCAATATCAAAACTAAAACGGCAAACATAAAAATAGCATAAACACTAACAAAAAAGCGAAAATACATTTTGAGATATTACAATTCAAATCTGCATGATATGAATTAAAATCAAAAAACTTTCTTGCGTTAGAAAAACATTAAAGATTGTTGAAAAACAAGGAGATCTAACTGACTAAAAATGCATCAACAACCAAAAAAAAAGTTTAATTTAAAAATTAATAAAATCAATCAAAATAGAAATGAATTTAAAAATGTGACAATTCTGTTTTGTTGAAGTTTCTAATATCAATCGGTGTTAGTTAATTTTAAATATCAACAAATCATATGACTTTGTCGTGTACAGTACACCATAGCAACAATTAGCATAACAAGTTTAAAATAAGATAAAAAGTATGTCAAATACTTGAAAAAATGTAAATCAAAATACAAGTAAAAAAATGCTTGCGTCAAATTTTATAACCTGACTGGCGGTTGTGAATAATTATAAGCTCAAATTTCACCATTTTCGCATCTTTCGAGCAAAGTAAGCACTTTGAAAAAAACAATTTGAAATGTCGACCAAATTTCAATTTCTCGACTACCTTTCCTTTCATTAATATTAGTGAGTTTATGTTCAGGTTGGTGTTAGGGACGGGGTCTATATGCTATGCACGTTTGTGTATTGTGTACATTCAAATTATAAGTAATGTATCGTATATCGCATAGTTAATTTGTAGAGGAGCGCCAGTTCAGTTACCTTCTTCAGAGGCGCCAATTTAAGCTCTCAGTTGGTCGTCTGTTGTTTCTTCTAATCAGTAAGGAAGACATTCAACTGATATTATTTACTAAAAATTAATTTGCTACGGGTCCCAGTTCATGTTTACTACAACGTTTACCTCAAATAGTGGAGATAGTACTTTGAATGTAATGAGCTTTTGCAAAATGCACAGTTAAAATATTATAAATAGATAAATAAATAATAAATATATGAAAATAACAGGTAAGAAAATAAATATCGGAATGAAAAAATAAAATGAAGATAAACGGTGTATAATGCACTGTCACACGTTGTCAAAAAAATTAAGGGATTTTTCTAGTTTCGAAGTGATCTGTAAAATAAAATGAATAATTTGAATCAGCCAACTTTTTATTTTTATTGAATTTTCAAGTAGCATGCTCATGTACTGTTACCATTTTCAGCTATGTAAATATTGGCACATTTTGCATATTAGTTTAGGAGCATTTTTTATCTCTACATAAATAACAAGAGAAAAAAATTAATTAATTACGTTTAAACAACAACACACGTTTAAACGACATTTTCCCCGAGATCGGGGGTTGCCGTTTGGCTACCTATGATAAAACCGAAATACCCCTCGACGCCATTCAAAATACTTACAATTAATTACGTTTAAACATCTATTAAATTAAATGCTGGATGATGTCACAAAGATTTTTTTTTCATCATCATCAGACGTCTATAACATCGGTATCTTGTGTAGTGACTTTGATTTAATTTAACTCATACTTCAATAAAATAATGAAGCATTTTAAAATCCATTTTGTTTTTCAATAACGCCTGGTTTTTAAGACGATTAATTTAACAAGATGGACTTGTGTGGTCGACGCAAATAACAATTCCTACATTTCAGCTACTCATTAATTTAGAAAAACGACTCAGTATGATACTTTGTTATCGCCTCACTTCAAAAAAATGTGAGATTTAAGCATATTTTCGTCGAAACGTTTTTGTAGTCAAATCGTCAACACTTTCAAATCGTCTTCAGATTACATTAATACAATTAAGAAATACAATAAAGAAACCTGGTCAGACTAGTTAGTTACATAAGTAATTGAAAAATATTAAACCTGTTTGAAGAAGTCAATTTGTCCTTGCAGATAAGCTTGCATATAATTAGAAAAATCAGTCACTCTGTTCACTTGAAAGTGTTGTATTTCAGCAAGTACAGTGTATGTGATGACGTCAGCTCGGCTTTGAATTTTGTTCACTTCCTGACGCGTCAGCTGTCCAGCATTTTCTTGAATTTTGTTTGTAGTCGACTGCATGTGCAACACGTGAGGTGCATTTTAAAATGGTGTATAACAAATAAACAGGCCAACTTCGACATTTTAACAAATCTATAAAATCGTTTATTCGGTTAAAAACGAAATCAAAATATTTTATGAATGCAACATTTTATTGGCACCTTATACAACATTGGCCGACAAATGAAAACGAAACTATGAATAAATAATGAATTGAATTAAAAATAAAATGATTGACAGTAGAAATTAATGAATACCCTTTGAACCAAAAGAACATCAGGAAAGACACTTAATATTCCTCTGTATTCTTGCAGACCCTCCATCAAATTCACCAAATCTTTACTTGGCTGGTGAAGAAGGAACATAAAGTAAGTATAAACAATCAATGCATTGATGTTTGAAATAAATTATCTCAAACAGTTAAATTAAACTTTAACTTATAATTCTATACTTGACTTTTAAATCCTAATTGAATAATCGCTACCAATTTGTTATAAATGGATAGATAATTTATTAATGAACAACAATAATTTATTTCTCATATTGCTACATTTATGCATTTGTAAGAGTTTAATTTCGTAATAAAATAGAAAAGAAGAAAATAAATTAATGTTTAAATGTTAAAACCTGAACACTGAAGAGTAAGGCAATTTCAATGTAAGTCTTGCCTGTGTATTGAATGGCTGACGACAGTTTACGAGAAGCTACAATGAGCAAGCAAATATTTTGTTTAATAATCCGAAAGACAATTTTATGTTTGAGCATAAAAATTTTAGTTTGTGTCCCTTCTTGTATGTTTTTCTATTATATTATGTTAAATATTAAACATTTTGAAATGATGACCAAATTAGGGAACAACAGCCTGACTAGCGAGGTGAGTGAATGATATTGTGATAGTGGTCAACTTGTGGCTATTTTTCAAGTGTTTACGACATCAATTTGAAAAATAAAATAAAAATTAAATAACAGAACAAAACTGTGTGCAAATTTAAATGCTCACATTTTCTGTTGTCCAGTTCAAACGATTTTGCCAGTTCTTCATAAGATTTTCCTAATGTAAGAAATTCTTTGTGAAATTCTGGCGATTGTTGAAAAATTCAATATACATTATTTTTTCATAAATATGTTAAATTTGTAAAAAGAAATTATCATTAATAAATTGTTAGGAATGACTTTATAAGTAAAGCATTTATTTCATTACATAATCATGCAATCTGTAACAAATAATATGATGGAAAATTCAGAAAGTTACTTAATCTGTATCGATAACCATTCTTCTGACAAACATTGGACAAATGTTTGATACTATCCTCCATGGAGCGAATGAACCGACCAAACTTATCCATCTGAATTTCACTGCATGGCAAATCACAATACCACATTTTCTTACAGATGCTTTGTTAGAATTAACATTATAAAACTCAACAGAAGACAAAAGCAAATTATAAGAAACAGACTGGCTTCAACTCACTGATAATTTCAATTCTCATGGATGAAAAAAACGAAACAAAAGACAGCAGTTGGATCTTTATTATAGTTGTAGGCACGTGTAGAATTGTATAAGATTAATTTAAACATCTCTTTTCCATAAAAATGAATGAATGAATGAATGAATGAATAAATAAATAAATATAAATACACAAATTTTTCACTTACACAACTATAGGATCGAGATCAATGCCAGGCGGTTCAACAGTGTAGAAGAAATAAGCACCTTTGTACTTGTCCCTTTCTATCTGTCTCTTGCCTGCTTTCCATTGCTGCCATTCAGTTAAAACATTTACACTGTTGTGAAAAAGGAAGTTGTAATTGTAGGAATGCACCACTACCTCAACGTTTCCATTGCAGTGGATGAAATGTATAAATGCTTCGGACTGTGAGATGATCGGATGTTTGCACATTCTGCTCATCCACAAACTCAACTTACGCAATCTTCCTCTGATGAATTCTTCCTCAAATCTTCCTGAGGAACGTTTGCAATGTGCGATCTTACAATAATGATCAGCCGTTTAAAATCACCTTTGAAATGTTTTGAAAGTTTGAAACGAAACATCAAAACTTAGAATGAATTGCGGTCAATATTTAAAAATTAAAATAAAAGCAAAAACTTCATTCTGTGAGTTCAATTCATAAACATTATTAGCAATGGCTGAAGGAGATGTAAAAGATGTAATAAAGCATGTGACAGGAAAAAGATCAGTTCATGATATATAAATAAGAAAAATTGAAACAAGAAAAAAAATTGACTTAACAATAAATCTTCAAGCATAAGGTTACATGAAGATGACTGGCAACTTAATGATACAGGCATTTATAAAAAGAAGCAGACAGACTGACGCCAACCAGATATTTGTTTCTCAGGCAGATGAGGGATGATGAGTGTGGAGAACTTTTCAACCAGCCGATCATGCAGCCAATCAAACTGTTTGTACCTTCTATACACTGGAGTATTTGTTGTCTGTAGTGTTGGAAACTTTTTTTTTAAACTACCATAGTTCAAGCATGGGAAAACAATAAACAGTGAATTAGCAACTTTTGGACTATTATCTGGCACAAAAAGAAATGAGAGAGGTTAAATCAAGTCAGATGTAAAAATTACATTATTAAATTTTTCATTTTTCAACACTTTCAACAAAATATTGATATTGTAAACCAATCCCTAAATTTTAAAATGTTCATAAGAAAAAAATTCTGTCAAAAAAAGTGTAAGGATAGAAAGTTCTGAAGCTTACAGATGGCAAAACTTGATAGGTGGTATAACTCTTCATGCCCTTGTATTTCTTCTCTTTCCTTGGTGAGCCTAACTTGCAAGTCATGCTCGGCACTGCAGACAGTGACCAGACTGGGCCCTCATAAGAATCCTGAAGTCAGGATTTAAAAAAAAAATTTTTCATTCATATTAAATTACTAAAAAGAAAAAACATTAGTTTATGTTTAGTATATACACTACACACACACTTGCATGTACATTATACACACACACAATATTATATGCTGACACAAAATATATACACATACACATCAACACAAAAATAATTTACATAAATGTTTATCTTCTTGACATCAGATGGCAAAGCAGGGGGATCCATGTTGAAAAGGTACATGTCAGCTGATCCTGTTGTGATGCCAACCAACCTATGAGATGATGTTCATCAAGGTTAAAACTTGAAACTCTATGAATTATAAGTGAATGAATAGGAGACACCAACTTTTTCCCATGCTTGTGATACAAATCCTCTTCATCCTCCTCATCATCATCTTCAAAAAAATCATCATATTTGCAACTATTCAACTTGCTATTCTTCTCTAGAGTACTTGTGGGACATTTATTACTGCTGTAAACCTTGCAAAAGAAATAAACAAATAAATAAATAAAGAGCTTAACATCAATACAGCCAATGAACACGAATGAATACAGACGGAACAACCTCTGTTATGACATTGTAATCCTCATTGTCATCGTCATCATCTTCATCCCAATCTTCATTGTCACTCAAGACTTCAATTGCATTGAACCTCGCGTTACATGGTACGCACCTGTGGTGGTGTTGCGGAGAGGAGGAAGATGAAGATGACGAGATGTAGGTTTGTACGACCCGGACAGGTTTCGGGGGTGGTCGGGGAGGGAGGGCGATGGAGGATTGACTGGATGCCGATGATGACGCAGATGACGACGACGAGGTGGAGGATGAAGCAGGAAGAGGAAATGGTGGCTCAGGTAAGGGGAGTCTCGATGCTGGAACTGGACAATGAAACTGGAAAATTAAATTTATGTTAGAAGAAAACTGAACGATTAAATTAATTTATTTTCATTTTAAAATTTCTCTATGATTCAACTCTACAAAACTGACAAAAAGCAATTTTCAAAGTCATATTTTATGCTTTTTGAAACTGCAGACAGAAAAATAACCAAGATAATTTTTTGAACACATTTATAGGTCAATTAGAAGTGGCTGCTGTTACCATTAAATTGAAAGCTATTTTCAAGTAAATGAATAACTTTAATCATAAAATTATATTAAAGTTTATAAAAATAACAAATGATTTTTTTGTAAAATTAAAAGCTACTTGTCAAAAATCTCATCATAGGATACAAATTATGAAATAACCTTAAAATAAGACTGAGGTACCAATCCTTTCAAACCATTCCCATTCCTGGCTTCCCACCATCCATTTCCAATATCCTTATAAAAATAATGGAATTAAATTTTATCAACTTCTCTCTTTGAAAATAGTTTGAAGGCACTAATACAACTGGAAAAGATGTGTGTACAATGCTATAAAAAAGGCTCATTTTAAAAATAAAACATTGTCAGATACACCAATTTTTAATATATGCAAAAAGACTTATTAAAAAATGTGCAAACATACCAGAGTAATAAATTTTTTGTAAAAACTGAAATAAGTTGAACTACAAAAATAAATGACAAAGTTGGTAACTCAGTATATTGAGCACGGGAGATAGCACAAAGTTACTATAAAAATGACTTTTCAAATTACAGTTTTAATCAGTAATTTTTTTTAGTTGAAACAAACTATGTTAATTAATTTTTTCATATTGAATCGATGCTATGACTTAAAGTCAATGTTTTAAAACTAAGAAATAAAGACAGCAAATCCCATCACCATCACTATAATCATGTCTCCATGTACTCAATGATAAAATCAGGACAGAAAAAAAAACTTGAGAAATAAGCATCTAAATAAATTTAAACAATGCACACATTAACATCGTCTATGAAATATGTAAATGTGTTTTACATCAGCTTAAGAACAGGAGGTTTTATAAAAACTTACTGTCGACAAGATGGTGACAATATCACTTGCTTGAAAACTTAGCTCCTTCTCCGACTGCGAATGGAAATCATAAAGAGCGACTGCCTGTAAAGAAAATAAATACCGGTGAAACATTCTTTAAATGAATGAATAAATTTAATAATTTAAGATGCACTTTTTGTGCCTGATTTTATTAAAAAGATAAAGTATAATTTTGATTGATTTATATTATAATTTTACTACGTGTTTACAATTTGATTGTTTATAATATAATATAACATAAATTAATAATTCTATTAGTGTTAATAATAAGCAAACCTTCTTTATATAAATATTATACCATGTTTTTAGTTAGTATAATTACATTAGTTAATTGATTTAAAAAATATAATTAATAAAACAAATTAAACATAAAATATGAAATTAAAATAAAATTATTTCAAATAGTAAAAATAATATATTTTTAATAAAAATTAAATTATTATAATATAATAAAATGACAATCAAATCAATATCAATATAAAATTATAAATCATCAACGTTTTTTTACTTTAAATTTAAAAATTAATAATAAATAATTTATGTAAGTAGTTATTTGCAGTTGCTGTTTAGCTAGCAAAAATAAGGTATAAATTTTTTTAAATTTTTACCAAATTTTCTTAGATATGTTGTTAATAAACCCTGAAAATTTCACAGGGAACATTTTATTTGAGTTCTATTATTTAATAAACGTTTATTTATTTTTATATTGAAACCCTTGGCTAACTTAAAACACCTCAAAAAAGAAAAAGATGACTGTATATTAGGGTGGGTCACTTTTGTATGTAAAAAAAATAAAAGTCGACCAATCATATTCTAATAGCATTTTTTTATTGTAGTGCATCATATCAAATAGTTTTAGTGAAAAATCAAATAAAAAAACGCATATCTTCAGCCCGCGCATGCGCGGCAAACATTTTCAAAAAAGTCCTATTCGTTATAGTCATAAGCTATTTATTGAAAGCTCGACCAAATGCCATTCTAACAAGACAAATGACTTTGTAAGTATTCAGTAATATTAAAAGCCAAAGCCTTAACAAAATAAACATAAGTTATCAAATAAATTGTTTTTTTTTTATACAAAAAATCCTGCTTGATGTCAGTTTTTAGGATGAGCAAAATACGCGTCCTGCTGAATAACACAATCTACAACTGCTTTTAACGCATTTGGTAAATATCGCAAGTTTTCAATTAATTTTCAAAGATGCCGTGATCCGACCTTACATGATGGGTGTATCCTTTTTTGAAACCACACATTTACTTTTACAACGTATTGAGCCAAATCAAATAAATTATTTGATGGTGCGAGTGTAAAAATGTTAAGACGCAAAATTCGGTTAGCTTTCGTTAATCAACGAGCTTGTGAAATATTTACAGATGACTATTTTATCAAATCATCTGAGATTCTTCCAGTAATTATTGCTAATGTAATTTCATACAAAGACGCAAAATCCAGTTAGCTTTAATTAAGATTGTGTAAAACTGCTGAAGCAATTGCAACACCGGTTCAATCAGACACTCCATAACGGTCACATAATTGTGACAACAACGGTAAACTTTGGATGCACTTCTTTTTTTCCATAGTTTTTGAGGTAGAAGTTAAGGGCTTTTCTTGATTTTGTGCAACTTTCCGGCTGATGAAATACTTGTATTTGAATCACCATTTATTGATGAAATTAACACTTTTCTGACATTTTCAATTGCGTTAATTGGCGGTTAATTGTTGATGCGTATTTCTGAGCTAACTTTTTTTAAAATTTTTAGTCCGATTTTCATGCTTTTTTTTAACGTTAATTAAATATTTTAGAAAAAACAACAATTAACGGAATTTTCAAAAAAAAATTTCTAGATGCATTTCCCACCAAAAAATGGTTTTTAGGATAAATGACATAATTTAAATACCAAAATCAGCATGTATTAGAACGAATACTAAGCAACGACCAATGTTTTTATATAAACGCTTTTTGAATGGCTGTATTTTAATTTTTTCCACAAAACTTCATCGGCTTTGCACGGGCTCTTTCACTCAAAATAATTTAATAATATTTTAGATGGTTCATTATGATGTCTTATTACAACATAATTTCGCTATTAGAATTCATTTACTAAAAAAAATTTTTTTGACCCACCCTACTGTATATTGCTACACATATTTATTTTCCAAAAAAACACGGTTATAAAAAAATTTTCAAAAACATTTTTTTCAATTAATAAATTTTTTCAAAGTCGGATGAAACAATTCGACTCCGGGCACATTCAAAATTTTTGAGTCAAAAAAATTTCAACTTCAACTCCAAAAATTTCTGACTGACTCCGACAATCTGGTTATTTATTTGTTAAAATTTAAAAATTGCGTGAATCGGGCGAATGTTAACGACATAAAGAAGCAGCGCACACGAAAACTGACCTGAAACATGCCGCCAGACATTCGCAGTCGTACGTTTAAAAAAATGAGAAGGAACCGAACACTAAGGCAGCAGAACACTATAGTAAATATGTCACGTGAGTGAGCGTAGTACGTTTTTCGAAACCTAGTTTAATATTTAAATAGATTATGGAAAGCTAAATCAATTTAGATTAAAACTATTTAACTGCTAAAAAAATGTTTAAATTTTTACAGTTTTGTTTATGACACGCCATATTTTAGCCTATCAATCTTAGTCAATTCAGTTGTTTGTTACGCAGGTAACGTTTTTATTTCAAACGACGCATCAATAAATTTTGTTTTTGCGATGTAGATGCAGTGTAGGTTACACTGTACACGGTAGAGTTTTGTAAATTTCCAGAGGCAATTTCAACGACAAAAAGGTTTTTCGAGCTGTAGAAATTCCGATAACTGTGGTTAGTCAGGGTTGTTAAGCCATATAAGAGCATGTTATTTGTCCGTTTTTCTTCTATTCATGTCACGTTACTTTTTTGGTTTTTACTATACGCAACCTAACATAGTTAAAAACTTTGCAGGTAATTTGAATGAATTAAATGCTGATGATAAAATTGTTCACAAAATCAATCTAGCACTGTCAATGCTGAAAGAACGGTGCTGATATTAAATATTTCTTTACAACTAATAATTATCACAACTTGACAATTGCTTAATCTGAATCACTATTCGTGGAACAAAAACATTCAATGATGTGCGACTAGACAACCAGCTCTTTTCAAAAATAACATTATAAGTAGAACACCAAACGCTAGCAGTGAAAAATTCAAACATTACAATGACCATTATAAAACTTAACAAAGAGAAGAGCTTAATTATTGACGATTAGTTTTATCCTGTGATTTAACTGTTGATTAGTTATTGTTTTGTATTCTAACAATTTTAACGATCGAACGAACGAGGGATCGATTACGGCAATTGCCAGTTCTGTTTTCTTTCTAATAAAGTCATCTAAAATAAGTCTGTTCAGGAATTAAGAATCCGCGGAAAGAGAAATAACCATACCCTACAAGTTCAAGGGGTCGGTTATAACAATATATTGCAATTACAACTTCTCTTCAAACCTCGTTACTAAATTTGCTAATCCTATGTATATATATATATATATGTGTGTGTGTGTTAGTGTGTGTGTGTTAGTGTGCATGTGTTAGTGTATGTGTGTGTATTCTGTTCAAATAATCCATACAAAAAGCAAAATTTTTTTATAAATAGAGAAAAATTCGTGAAACTAAAACTAGACTGCAATTTGAAAACCAAAGTCAGAAGTTGAAGCTTAGTTAAAGCAATATTGAAATTTTTTTAAATAATTATGTACGACTTCCCTATAGTAAGCTTTTATTTATAGCTGTTTGATTACGACATCATTTGTAGCCAAGAAATTCCAAAGTTTATTACTTTCTATGCAACTTGTTTAAAGTGGCTAAATACATCCCAGAGAATGTATTTTAAAATATAAAATGGTACAACGTACTTTCCCACTCAGGTTGTTGACAGATAAATATCGAGCCATATCGTTCCAACACACGGCTGCTCCAAGCATCAAATCATAATCCATGTCACCTGCAGCGCCTATTAATACAATGGACGAAAGATTGAATGCTGTTGGCTGTACATATTGTGTGCCGATTATGAATTGGTTCTATCGCTTGGAACATGTATAGTTATATACAACAGGCACATTTTCATATATGCATTCACATTTCCACACATTGTATTTATATATACATGCACTTTTCCATACGTACATTCACGTTTTCACACATACATTGTGCATATCTTCTCGAAAATGATTTGCACTGATCTTCATTATCACACAGAAAGAAAAGAAAACGATGTATTGTATAGTTTCTGAGCAATTGTGTTGAACCGTAACGAGTAAAAATTGTCACTTACTGATCCATCTGAAGGTGGATGCCATGTTAAAATGGCAGCTCACTCCAGCCCACCAACCAAAGCAATCCATCATTTGAAAAATCCCTGGAAATACATGAATGGAGAAAAATTCATGATTTTGTAAGCAGTTTTAAAGGATGAACACGCGTATAACCCTTGTTTTATCATAACCCGTTTTATCATAGAACGTTAATAATTTGAGAAGTTTAGTAATTTTTACGTGATAAAAATTAGCATCTTTCTTTTCTACGAACACAATAAGAAAATCATAAAAGTTAGTTTAGAAGTTTTATGTAAAAATTTCAGAAAAAATATAGAGAATAAAAAATTTCTACTACAAGTTTAGGATTGAAAAAAATTGAAAAAAGTTTTTTTTATTTAAACTTCATTTATCAAACCAATACAATACACGATGTGTCAATTTGAATCCTGGAGATAATATATCGACTCGACAGTGCCAATATCAAGAAGATTAACACGTCACCTGAATAACGATAGAAGATTATCCAGATGAAGTTTGACAAAACTTTTACAACGCTGTGAGATTGGATTGGATATGCGTTATGACTGACTCATAAATAGGCAAAACATTCATTTTGAATATTCATACCCAGTGGCGGATCTAGAAAACTGACGGGGGCGGGCAAAATTTTTAATTTTTTTCTTCAAATTTTGACGAAGGCAAACGTTTTGTGGCAAGGTGGCCAACATAAATTAGGTTGGCGACCTTTTTATTGTTTTTTTTGCTATAAAATGGTGCCTTTTATGTTCAAAAACTAAATTTTACTGACTTTTAGACTTTTAATACAAACAGCTCACAACGATCACCACAGTTCATACCGTAAAATATAAAATTTTATTCTATTATTTTATTATTATTTTCAATAAATAATCATCTTGAATAATTAATTTTATACTATTAAATAGAATTTGGCTAACAAAATGAATAGTCAAGAAGAAACGCACTGGCACCACAACAATGTCATGCAACTTCAATTTGTGGGTGTAATAAAAATTATAAGTGCAAATTTTTAAATTGTAAATCAATTAAATTTAAATTGTAAACAAAACGTTATATTAAACAAAAAAATATTACAAAATTAGTATTAAAACCATTTGTTTCTATGAAAAAAGCAAAAGCAAACAAATGTCATGTCGAATTCAGCAGCTTTGTGTCGGTGAAATAGATCGACTGTTTGTGTAAAGAATGAAACGCAATATTACTTTTCCATTTATCCATCGCTTGGTTCAATGGTTGGAGCATAAAAAAACGTTTTTCCAAATTTGTCAGGCCTTTGTTTTCTATAATGGAAAAAAACTCTTAACTGTTTTTAGATTTGTTGTTGAAAGTATTGAAAGAAAGTTGTGGGAAGGTTTGATTGCGTTTCATTTTGAAAGTTTCTTTTGACAAAAATTTGAAAAGATGAAAAAATTAATTGGGCATTATACCAAGTGAATATAGTTTTTCTTAAAGTCAACTGCAAATAATTTTATTTGGTAGCATTGGAAGTGAAAGAAGGAAAGAAAAGAGTCGTAGCAATAATAACGGGAATAGAAATTTTTTTTTATCATTATAAAATCATTTTTCAAAATAAAAAACTTTGAAGATGTTGCTTTCGCTAATAATTTTGATGAGAATTGAAATTAAACAATTCCAACACCAATTACTTGTTAAGAAAGATACAAAATGCCTTTGTTAACCGGACCGTCGATGTCTAACATAAATAAACTTTTGTTAATTTTTTTAAACATTCAAAAATTTTCGTTGAAACTACCAAATGTACAGAACAGCCATATTTCATTCATCTTTCAGCATAACAACACAAATGTGCACAAATCTATACCGGACACACTTCCACATTGCACGCACACGCAGACAATCACACGCAGACAAACACACACAAACACACACACGCAGACACCACACACACACGCAGACACCACACACACACACACACACACACACACACACACACACACACACACACACACACACACACACACACACTGACATTCACTTGAAAGATACAAATGCTCTGCTAATAAAATCGTTTGAAGGAAATGGGATGCAAACGAGTAGCGGGATTTTGATTGGAGCGATTCAATTTACAAACTTTGTTCTCCTCATCATTGCGGAAACTTTATCGTCGTCATTGTACGCTATCCAATACACCAAAGTAGTTCATTTATCGTCATCATCTTCATCTAAATTGTCAATCTGAATTGTCAATCTAAATTGTCATCAGTGGCGGATCTAGGGGTAGCCATGGTGCCCTTACCATGGCTACCCCTTACCATGGTTAACATTTGGTTGATTCATTGGCCCCGCGTCCAATTTCAAAATTTTTTCAACCTTTATAAACATGTTTATAATATATTTAAATATTAAAATATTCAATACACTATATAATTTTGTAAAAGTTGACTGTTAAATATGAAACTTTATGTTAAATTAAATGAAATCGTATTGAAATGATTCAACTTATTCAACTTATTCTAACAGCAATGTATCATCATGATTTTTATTGCATATTACGTTTTTAAAAATTTTGCACATTATATTATTCCAAACTATTATAATCCATACAATTTTTTCAATTTCTTCCTCTTTTTTATTTTCCGTCGCAATTTATTTCGTCAAATTTTCACAAAAAGAAACCAAAAATGTAAATATTGTAAAACATTCAAAGTCGATATACAATCGTTTGTATATTTTACATTTACCATAATAAGATGATTAATACAGTGGGTTTTATATATATATATATATATATATATATATATATATTTAATTCATTTTATCATTAGAATAATTCAATAAGATGAGAACTCATACGAAGTTGAAGTTAGGGTGCTGGAATAAGTCGTATCAATTAACTGTTTATTATAAATACACATCTGATTCGTTGAAAGTCAATTTGTACATTGATCTGTTTGTTGTTGGTATTGTAAATGAAAAATAGAAACAAAATTCACTACGCTGAAAATTAAGAAGTTGTTGAAAAATTTAATGAACGATTCAATCCTTGCCAACAAGCACCTAAGATTTTAAAGCAGGCATCTTCATGGTGTATTAGCATGCAGACATTTTCTGAAACAGT